ATATCAGGGTGAGAGAAGGGGTGCTGCAGGGGGTGATACAAGGGTTGACACAAGGTATGATACATGGGAAAGTCCAGTCTTTGATAATGCACACTCTTGGACTATACAGGCCGAGTCCAAAACAAAGTGACCTGGATGAATGATTTTTTTTCTTAAAAGCAATCAAATTTAATATCGTCTGAATGAATTATGTCTGAATGAATTATGTCTTGAATTAATACAAAAACAACTAACTGAATTGAAAAATGCTATCAGAAGTAAGGCATGTTTTACTAGAAGATTTGTTTTATAGCTGTTCATGGAATGCCACAGGAAGCTATTGAGCTGATAAGTATGAGTGAGAATTACAGATTACACACAGGCATTCAAATACAAATGGATTTTAATAATTTGAGTCAAGACTGAAACATTATTTTTACTGTCAGATTTCGGTTGACAGCTGAATTTTGTGATCTTTTTATTAAATAGTCATAACTTGGCAATAGAGTATGCAAATTAAGTACATTTTTTCACAGTTACAAGTCAAGACATGTCCGTACTTTTTATCCCTGTGTAATTTTTTTATGACATATAGCAAATTATTATTTTAAATATTTTTTTCTTCTAATTCGGTCACTTTCTTTCACTCACCCCGTACACCTAAGCTCTATCACCACTAATAAGTGAAAGGCCTACTACTCATTATTGATTTATCATTTTTAAAGATATAAAACTTCTGCAATGTCACGATCAATATATATGTTTATCGACCATTTCATATATAGCTTAAATAATTGTTCACAGTTTTTAAATAGAAAGGAATCAAAGTTATAGCTAATAAAATAATAAATAGACATTTAATAAAATCATATACTTCTCCACACACAACTTCAAAATCATAGCCAATCCTCATAATTCTCTTTTGATGGACCATTCCCTGACAAAACATCTTCCTTTCCCTTTTAATAACCTATTTGCAGAAACGCAAATAATTACTAACAAGAACATCGCAGGATGTTTGTTTGGTACTGCGAGTTTCATTTATTCATTCGAGCGACTTTCAGCTCCTCACTGATTTGCCAAATCGCGATATTAAATATAGATGTGTAATATTTCAATTCAGACTCTGAAATAAAATCTTCAGAGTGGCCCGATCAACACAGAAATTGCAACTGAATAGGCCTATAAACCATGGTGTTTTTTTGTTTTTTTTGGACAGTCCAGCGAAGTCATGCCCCGTGTATCCTCCTTGCATCCCTCGGGGGAGATTTCCACCTCACGCTGGACCCACATGCAGTCAGAACACCGTTGCCCGTGTTGATTCTGCATTCAATTACAACTATCAAAATAACCCGACTTAATATTAAGAGTGTTCCTACAGCAAAATTTGGTCTCAGATTTTTTTTAAGCACTTCTTTTGCAGAATGTTCTACCAAAGTCCACCGGCATATGGCTAAGCCTGAAATTTCAATCGTTACTTCTGATATATTCCTCATCATTCTTAGCCTAAATGCTTTCGGTCAAGTACTTACATCCCCGAGAGAAATATGCAAAACATCAGGCAAAGTGAACCAGCAGAAATCCCTTCCGGGGCGATCGGTCTACAAATTGACCAGGTTAAATTATCATGTTAGCTGGCAGCGAATTGTCACGCGTCTTCTTCACTCGGGATGTTACTGGGGCAATGGGTTCCTAAATGCATATGGTTCCGCCTAAGATGAATTCCATTCAATTTACATTCTTGCATCAGTTGCCTGGCGAACTTCGACTTTCGGGGAGTTCTTCGCTACATGCTGGATTCGCTTCCGGACCAGCAACACACTTATATTGAGGCAATACATGTTTAGAATAATTTTATTGAATTATATTAAACACGAGACAAGGTTATTTTAATACAAAAAAACAACACCTTCAAAGGTTACAGTAGTTAAACCAAACCAATAATATTAAGAAAATCAAAAAACACTGTCTGGAGTTATGGTTTAGCTTCTCCGGACAAATATGTTGCCTCCCTCTAGGATTAGGCCTACTCTTGCCTCAAGACTGGAATTTGTGATGAGACTTGAGAAGCAAGGTAATGCTCTTTCACTTGTATGTTTAAGAGACAGAGATCCTTAGCTCCGATAAGTGCCATATATCCACAGGAACTGTCTCCATCTTGCCATAAAAAATATGGATTGAAGATATTAATAATTCAAACAGTGCGGACTTAGAGTATGGTTTGCTTTGATTCATAGACTTGTCTTAGTGCAGTGGTCATCGGTTTTGTCGGAGTATAGTGTTTGTGAGAGGAACTGGCATTATTCAATGTTACAGTGTCGGGGTCTTCATAAGATTCAAAAGATACTCTTCATTTCCCTCTGGCTTAGTAAAAACAATCTGTTTCTGTGAAAGTCCTGATAAAATTTTCCACAAAATGGCAAATCTTTTTTACAGGAACCATTCATTATTAAATTTATCATTATTGTACATTCAGAATTCAAAAAAAATGATATCAATTATTTCTCATGAGACATTGTCTCGTTCACCTATCAGTGGCTTGACCGAAGATGAAATACAGATTTTCTCAAGGGAGCTTAGGGCACGATTTGGGAGGCTTGATCTCGAGCTGTCTACGGTCTACCAATGATAACGGCCGGAAGAAGCTTGCCCGGAGAACTTTAAAGCTGAAATCTCCGTGACAAATCAAAGTCAGCCCTACATCTCACAGGCGCCTTCTAGCATGGGTTTCATATCAGAACATGGGATGGAATATCATCCAGAGATGTTCCGATATGTATGATGCAGTGCGTATCGAATTCAACACGCAGGCAATGCACGGATCGGATTACTGCAAGTCATAACCGATTCCTCGATTTCACACATGAATAATATACGTCTTGGGGATAGAGATGGAACCCATGTTTTGACCATTCGCCCTTACTTTCCTTGAATCCACGACTAGATGAAGTTCTGATGAATTGGTGTCACTGTTTGCGCAAATCTTGCTGAAGATGTTTTTTTAAGCTTTCCATCTTGCACATTATAAGAGAAGCAACGCAACCTCATGTTACCTCGTACCATATCAAGATGTTATTCTTGAAATATAACTAAAAACATAATGGTGGCCTTAAAATGACAACCGAGGAGAAAGCCAGCCACACAAACGGAGTCAATATGAGCCAAATAATATGATTGCCTTGCTTTGGCTGAGGGTCCAATGGCTTCGTTACAAGAAATGCAATATTTTCTTCAAGAGAAATTGTTCGAACTTATTTCTGTCGTCTTAAAGTCTGATGCTTTTGAATAAACGTACTCCCTCGAATGAAAAGTAAAGTGAATCGAGTCACGTAGTAAACGTCTCTCTATTTGGTGGTATCTGTTTTCTTTCTCTATTATTTCTACCCACTGATGACGTCATATCAATTTATTCAAAAGTACAGGTTTTCGATATCACAACTAAAGTCTACAAGGTGGGTTCACACTTCACGCGAAAGCGAGGCGAATTTGATGACGTCAGCGATTGAACTTTCATTGACATTAGCACTAGTACGCATTCGCTCTAATACTCGCTTGAATATAAACAAAATAATAATTGTCCTTTACGGTGCTCGACCACATCGAAGACTAGGGACAATAACAGTACAAGTTGACTCCGGAATTTGCTAATAACATGCATGACTGCTGACCACTAGGGTCCAAACACTGTGAAATATTTCCATTTAATCGTCGACTGCTCTTTAATAATTTACTCGATCGTGCTCGTCCATTGCGTCCGTTGGTTTTTCAATCAACCATCGCCGTCGCATTAGTAACAGGTTGACCGACGCTATGCCTTCTTTTCACGCGTGTTAATTATGCGCCGGCCATTTTAATTAATTGTTCGTTTAGAGGTTTTGTTGCGCAAGTAATTAAAGTGGGCTTACTGATGCTGGTCTACAAGCAACTCTGAAGGAGCAAAAGTGAAAAGGGTTGACAGTGATGTATCTCTATGACCGTATGCGTAGCTGCCATCTTAGAGGGCATCTGTTGCTATTTTAATTCAGTAACAATGAATGCACAAATAGTTCACTCATGTACATCCCAGGTAAACACAGGCATTGCCCTCTAAGATGGCTGCTACACATCTGCTATCTAATCAACCTATGTAGTCAAAATAAAGGATATGGCTCACTGACATTAGCAAACATTTAAGCCAACTAGCATTTCTATTTCCAAAAATGAGACATGCTCTCCACGACTTTAAAAAGGGAATGATTATTCAATGCCAATCCGATTTTTGGATAGAGAGCGCGAATGATTGTAGTTGGCCCATTTTTCAAAGAGTTGGGTTTTCAAACTGATATTCGAAATTCATAGAGCCGATCGTCATAAGTATCTGTGTTTGATGTCATGTCCGAGGGAGGAGTGGGCCGAAGGGACGGGGCACATGGGTTGCAAGTAGGGCCGACTGCGGTTGTGAAGTCCTACTAAGCACTTTGAATTCCTAACCCCACCATCAAGTTGTAATGAGTCGTCACTTACATTCCCGTGAACTTGATCTTTGAGCTGAAGTTGTTTACAAAGCCGTCACAGAGCAAAATTAATGATTGTCATGTGACGTTGCATTATTCCATTATTGGAAACTAATTAGCCCCATACATAAAGAATGTCTTGTGGGTAATTCGGCAAATTGGGGGTTCGCGTCCAGCCAGGGGTTGTGGTGCGTGTGTCCCTGGGCAAGACACCTGTCACTAATTAATTGCTCCCACCGGCACCTGTGAGGGCAGAGATGGTTATATACTGTGCTATTTTGAATTAGCCAGTTTTATCGAAAATGACCTGAATTCCCCTAGGGAGCTGAGATTGGGGTCATAATTATATAAAGTGCTTGAAATTGATTTTCGTAAACTTTTATTAATATAATTAACTCAGGCTGAACAATAATATGATTGTACCGCATGGCATGGCAGCGCAGCCAACGGAAAAGCGATATAGCGCCCTCAAGAGCTATTATTATGCCTCGTCAAAATTACACTGGCCCCGCCCAACTTGTTCCTGTACATCACACAGCGCCCATGCCCAGCAGCCGGGTACCTGTCAAGTGTTATAGTGTGAAAGGTTGGATTTTGTCAACATTACACGTGAACGTTATCGATCTTATTTCTTCTTTCTGGCAGAGGAAACTTGGCCAAAATGCCGCTTGAATTTGAGCTTGCCCCTGGACGAATGATAGGCGGGGATCACCCGTGCTTCATCATTGCCGAAATTGGACAGAATCACCAGGGAGACATCAAGATAGCCAAGCAAATGATCAAAATCGCAAAGGTACAAATCAACATGATCAATGGTGCAAGGGCCTTGACCTTGTCCGATGCTTTATTATAATAGAGTATACGAATCGCCTTTAAAAAAACCCAAAAAACCCCAAAAACATTTGGACATGGAAAAATAGGCGATTCGTAGAGTTGCTCTTAAATGGGTCTGACGTAAATGGAAGTGTATATTACTTAGCATGTTTAGCCAGCTAGTTTAGCCAGATTTCGTTCAGTAAACGATTTTTAGCCTGCTATTTTATACAGCCATGACATTTGTCAGCACATTAAATTACCTCCACTGTTGTGCAGCACCCGATGGCCTAGTACCGGTGGATAAGGGTATGTAGTTTGTGAGTGACAGATCCCTGGTCAGCTGCTGGTTCAAAATCAAATACCTGCACTGCAGGTGACATTTTCAATTTTTGTTTTTCACACCAAAAAATTTGCAATATTCTTATTTTTTTTTTTTTTTTTTATTTTAAATCGACTCCAACATATAATTTACAGAGTATTACATTTTCTTTTTGTGATTTGTGGCTCTGGAGGATTTTTTTAATGGGAAACAGGCTATAGTTCGAAATTGTAAAATGGTCTGATTCCCATGTCGTGAATACTGGTGCATAAGAAGTCACAACGACAATGTTGGTGCGGAACCAGACTAAGATTTGTCACGGTAAAACTTTCAAAGTCCCCAAAAAAGTCACAAAACATCCGGGCAAAATATCGTTTAAGAAGGAGGAAATGTTTGAAGGGTCAGATAAATTTGAGGAGCAAGGATTACAAAGTTGGGAAGAAAGGTAGGAGTGGCTGGAGCAAAGTAAGCTTGTAAGGGCTAGGTCAGATAAGTGGTACAGGTAATGTAAAAATAAAAAAAAACAGAAAAATGCTCTGGACTGTTTGTCAAATGAGTTACGGAAATTTCTTTCAAGTCCCAAAGTTTTTGAGAACAAGCTGCTGCTCTGACAGATAGTGTAGCACGGTTAATTAAGATATAAAAAATGGCGGTTGTTTTAGTCAGCTGTACTAGGATTTCTGACCGTTACATAATTTATTTGATTACATCCACAGGAGGCTGGAGCTGATTGTGCCAAATTCCAGAAGTCCGAACTCCAGTACAAGTTCAACAAAGCTGCCTTAGCACGCCCTTACAACTCCAAAAACTCCTTCGGTAGAACCTACGGGGAGCATAAACGTTTCTTGGAATTCAGCCACGCGCAGTACAAGGAATTGAAGGAGTATGCTGCAGAAGTTGGGATCTACTTCACCGCATCTGGAATGGATGAGGTGGGTAAACAGAAGACAAGGACAGTGATGGTGATGGTGACACTAAAATGATAGCAGCTAAATGACAATGAGGATAATGACAATGCCATCAATGTGATGACAGTGACACTGAAAATGACAGCTGGAAATGAATAATGACAGATGTGGATACGATGGCAAGTAATGAGTGGATGGTCTAGTAAATTACACAGGGGTGTAAAATCTCAGCTTTAAAGCTGATTTCAGCTTTTTTTGTTTTGGATTTTAGCATTTTTTTTTCCCTCACTTGCTGGGTACAAAAGTATAGGAGATTTCCAAAGTTCAGCTTTTTTACACCTTTTTCAGCTGTTTTCAGCTATTTTTATCAGTAGTCACTCACACCCCTGATTACAGCAGATCATGATGACTGACTTAGAATGACAATAGGTTAGATGACAGTGATGTTGGGCCTGATCGGTGGATCTGCATGTTGGGTCGATCGCGCTTTGCTATTACTAGTCCATTGCGCTGCCATCAGTCGATCACCTTTTCCTTCTAATCCACGGCGCTGGAGGATTGTTTTGAAAAAGGGAAGTGAAGTCTGAGATGTCGTAGAGGATTAAAGAATCGCGTAGGTGCATTTCTGAGTGATCGAGTGATGGCACAGATCCAGATTGCACCCAACAGTGACACTAAAGTGAGTAAGTGACCACATGTAATAAAGACATTAACGTGGTCTGGACAGTAGGCAATGATTACAATAACACTGAAATGACAGCCAGTGTACTGTTTTGACCCTAGGCTGCGATGGAATTCCTGCATCAACTGGACGTGCCATTTTTCAAGGTTGGTTCAGGAGATACCAACAACCTTCCATTCCTGACCCGATCTGCCAAGAAAGGACGACCCATGGTCGTCTCCTCAGGAATGCAATCAATGGACACCATGAGAACGGTAAGCAATCCTCACTAAAAAAATATAATGGTTTTTTTAAACCTTAACTCCATCTGTGACTTCAGAATCATTCAGAAGCTTTTCTTTTTCAAATGGAAATAGTCTAAACATTGGCCTTAAATTACGGGTTTATAAGTTGTTCCAAAAGCAAATCCCCGTTTTCTCTTTTATCATTTCAACTTTTTTTTTCAAGAGTCTACCTCAGTGTATATAACATTCTTACTTCTTGCCTGATTTCTAGGATTATTTATGTACATTCCCACAGGTGTATAAGACATTGAAAGCAGAGGACGTCAATTTCTGTATTCTGCAATGTACCAGCGCGTACCCCTTGGAACCGGAAGATGTGCATCTGAGAATCATTCAGGTAATCTTTGTCTCTTGTCATTGGTTGTTTCCCTCGTCTCTTTTCATAAGAATTTTCTTTTAATGCTGCAAAATGCTGGATATGAACCTTTGACCTGTGCAAAACAGCGTATCGGGGCACTAACCACTGTGTCATCAAGCCCTATGTTAGAGGTTATTTTTTAACCCGAACTCCCTATGCATTTTTGCTAGTATGTAACTTCAATCCTGCAAAATCCTCCAACTGCCTCTATGTAAAACAAATAACATACAGCCTCAATCCTGCAAAATCCTCCATTGTTTTTTTAATGTGGTCCTTGGAGGGATGACCACTGCCTCAATCCTGCAAAATCCTCCAGCAATCACTGTCAATATGTTGAAGCAGATCCAGTGACATCCTGAAGCAAGTATACTCTAGGCCTAAATTTATGCATGGCTGAGCATAAACAACACAAGGTGCGGTGAAAGACCTTGAAACTGTGCATCCTCCAAGATCAGCCACACACATTTTTGTTAATATAGTTTAATATTGCAAATTTTGAAATTCTGAAATTTGGTTCTGGATCCACCCCTGTGATTTGGTTGTATTTTGTCTGATCCTACAGGAATATCAGAAGGAGTTTCCAGACATTCCTATTGGCTACTCAGGTCATGAGAGTGGGAAAACCATCACACTAGGAGCCATTGCCATGGGTGCAAAGGTCGTAGAAAGACACATCACCATGGATAAGACATGGAAAGGCAGCGATCATGAAGCCTCGTTGGGTGAGAGAAATTTTGACCTCAATTTTCAGTTAGTCACAAGTATTAAGGGCACAAATAACAGTTGATAAATAGGGACACAGGAATGCCTGTTTAACTGTTTATGTGAATGTGACTTGAAACTGGATGACTTTTTACTGTTATTGACTTATGATGGCTTTTGAAGAGTTGTCTATAATTCCAAAAATCTACCGGTTTGCACGCAAGTTGAAATTTTGTTGTATTCACACCGTATGCAAACCAGTGCACATACGCGATGCCCCTCATTTGCTTTGCTTTTGTGAGTAGGCTACACAAAGCAGCACCACGACAGTCTCTTTTCACAAATCTCTAGGAGGTTTTTAAAATCATTTGAGATTGTTTTAATTTTTCATCTTTTTTCTGTTTTTTTTTTTCTTTTTCTAGAACCACAGGAATTGAAGGAGCTGGTCGCAGAAATCAGATTTCTTGAAAGAGCCCTAGGGTCAAGGGTCAAAGAGATGCGAGCCTGTGAACTAGCTTGTCATAACAAGGTACACACACAAGAAAATCACATTTAAAACTCCTGTTGTCAAACTAAATTTACAAGTGTACAAACATGCAACTTTCCCTCAGATCAACTGGTTTCCTTTTTGAAGTTCTCTTTTGTGCCATGAAAACTTGACGAAGCACTGCATAGTCTTGTATGGCTTAGAATTTCCTCTCTAATTTTTGCCTTTCCAGTTGCCTGCCTGAATGCACTATGGAGTTGTTTTCCCTTGTCTGTTGCATTCTAGGATGATTTTCAGGCTTTTTTAGTAGTTAGCATACCTTTTTTTCCAACACTCCAATTACTGCCAGTAAGCAAAAGCCCAAGTACTCCGACCATATTGTCTTGGTTTTTTTAGGCTTCCACCAACTCATATTTAAGCATAAGCTTCTTGGACTTGTTTTGAAATTTGGACTGAAAAATTTAGATTTTTTAACCGAAAAGGGTACTTATGTACATGTATGTGAAAAAATATGTGACTGGCCAGTGTTAAACCCAATGCTTAAGATCGGTTGGAGTCGTGATGCTGATAATTACCCTCGCCTTCAGCTTGGGTAATTATCAGCAACCAGACTCCAACCGGTCTTAAACATACTGTTTAAAACTGGCCAAACACACATTTATTCCCTTATTGATATCTAATAAGTAAATGCTTTATCTTTCCATTTTCAGCTCGGTAAGAGTGTTGTAGCTGCTAAACCGATCACATCAGACACTGTTCTGACCGAGGAGATGTTGACTGTCAAAGTTGCTGAACCTAAGGGGTATCCCCCAGAGAAGATCTACAGTCTGATTGGACGGAAAATCAAACGAGATCTTGAATATGACGATACGATCCGCGAAGAAGACGTCACTAGCGAAGAGTCATAGAAGTCATCACCATGATAATAGAGAGGCTTCACATCTGAACAGATACCTGTATGTATATGTTTAGCTATCCATAACCGTTATCGACCATTCAGTTGTTTCAAATCCTGTAGGCCTACACACATGCCCAATTATTTATCAGAACCAAAACCAGCAGTTATCCAAAATGGCAGCCTCCTATGAAAGTCTGGTATTTTCGGCAAATCCTACTTTCAAACACAAACATGGCACATATGTTCAGCAATTTATCCTCTCTTAACCAAATAACTTATCGGAACAGAGGTTGAAAGTGGGCAGTTTACTGTGCGCTTCACACCGAAACGTAGCGCACGATATACCCACGCCATGTACACATGTAGGGGATAGCGACTTTCGTATGACGTTAAAAGTCCACGCATAGTGATGAGCTATCCGGCACGCGAACCGTATCAGTTCACTTGCGAAACCTCTCTAATTTCGGAAAAGTTGTGCAGAAATTTCACCCAGTGAGCTGATTGTGTCTTGGTAAGCGATATCTGGGTGCTCTGTGGCATGAACAGTCCTGCCTAGCCAAGTAGTGACTGATGCAGTTTTCTGTAAGATTTTCCTGAGTTTTACAGAGATTCTATCAGACAGAATGAACTCTTACAGGGACATTTTCCCCACCACTTTACCAGGCTAATTGTCAAGATGACAAGTCATTTAAAGATTGGAGTTTTGACATAATAATTTTTGGATCAGAAAAAGCTGGTTCATACTTCCAGCAAATGCAACTTCAAGTAAATTTCTTGTTGTTCCCAAAAAATGGATTTCAACTCCCATGATTGAGGCTGCAACTGTGCGATTACATAAACATGTTTCATTTGTGGGAAGTATGCACATGCTTGTAAGCATTCCATTATCTCTAGAATGATGTATGAAATATAAACTGCTGTGTGAGTTCTGTTCTCACTATCAGCAATGAAATTGATTTCAATTGTCTTTCTAGTTTTCTCCTTACTACCTCTGTCATGTATATGTAGCTGTACGCAGCTTGGGTAGTAACTATTAACCCCAATTCTTAAGGCATTTTTTTCCTTTGTGAATCCCACATAATCGACACTCTTCAGAAAGCCGGTACCTTTTTTTTTTAACAGTTGAACAAAGAAATTGACTGGAGTGGGGCTTAAACCTGCGACCTCCGTATTGCCGTTCCGGTGCTCTACCAACTGAGCTGTCCAGCTCTACACGTTGGCGGTTCCCCATTTTGTCAATATCTTTGTTCAAGGGCGCTGGTCAGAAGCCATAAGTTACTCTTTTTTTTAACTTTAATTAATCCCTCAATCCTGCAAAGCAAGGGTTATTGAAAAGTTTGTGAAGACATTCGCTCCAATTCTTTCCTTCAATTTCCTGCTGCGAGATAGAAATTAAAAGAAATTTTAAATGTAGGAAGAAGTAAATTTAAGAACTTAGGAAAAAGAATTAAGGTGAATGGATTTAAGCAAAAACAAAAAAAAATAGTGGTTACAAATCATGATTTTAAGATTTATCTATTTTTTTTAACACTTCAGTGCCTTTATTGAAAAAAAACCCACTAAGTGGAATTGCATTGTTGATTTTAGTAGATTCAGATTGAAATACTCTTCGATTTGTTTTTGTGCATGCTGCTAAGAATATTTTGTAGGTTTTTAACATGGACCTTAAGTTTATGACTATAGAATGGATTGCTATTTTTCTCAGGATCTAGCAGTCTGCTGTAAATTTTGATGAAACCAATTATTTTTGCTTAGTTTCGGGAATGTATTCAAAGCTTCTGTTTTGCAATAGTTTTGATACGCCAATGAGTGGTTTTGTTTCAAGATTGATATTTTTCAAAGTTTTTAGAACTGTTTTCGTTCAGTTACTTTTATGATTATTTGTTGGGGTTTCAATAACAGTCTGAATGGATTTTGAAAGAGTAGGCACGTAAGAGCATATTATATTGAGATGGGTGAAATATAGATGGTATGCATGTTATTAAAGAAAAGATTGCAGTTGAATCATCAACTTATGCGAAAATCATGGACTTATTAGACAAAAATTAATAATTTTCACTACTACAATTTTTTTTTAAATGCTGTATCTGTCCATAACTCCAGTTGGAATGTCTTCCAAGGACCTTCAGGCATCTTTCCTGCTACTTTCAAGAAATTTCATTTTTCGGCCAAAATTGAAAAAAATTGCAAGGGGTTAACCTTACATTTTGGATCAAATTTGGCCAAAAAAATGACTTTTTTTCCAAACAACTCAGCAATGCATCAGGATGCAAGAGGAGCATCAATTGACCTTGAAACACCAAAAAATATTGAAGATTTGGGCAAAAATCATCGACTTATTGAGACAAACTTTAATGATTTTCACTAATTTTGCATTTTCATCAAAATCGGGCTAATTTTGCCCCTTTCTTGGAAATTAAGAATATAAAGGGTAAGCCTTGCATTTTTATCAAAATTGGGCAAAATTTGACCTATTTTTGGAAATTAAGGATATAAGGGGTTAGCCTTGCATTTTCATCAAAATTGGGCAAAATTTGTCCTTTTTTTTGAAAATCAAAAATATAAGGGGTTAGCCTTGCATTTTCATCAAAATTTGACCTTCTTTGAAAATAAAGAAAATAAGGGGTTAGCCTTGCATTTTCAGCAAAATTTTACCTTTTTTGGAAATCAAAAAATTTAAGGGATTAGCCTTGCATTTTTCATCAAAATTGGGCAAAATTTGTCCTTTTTTGAAAATCAAAAATATAAGGGGTTAGCCTTGCATTTTCATCAAAAACGCGCAAAATTTAATCTTTTTTTTTAAATCAAAAATATAAGGGATTAGCCTTGCAATTTTCATCAAAACTTGGCAAAATTTGTCCTTTTTTGAAAATCAAAAATATAAGGGGTTAGCCTTGCATTTTCATCAAAAACGCACAAAATTTAAACTTTTTTTGGAAATCTAAAATATAAGGGATAAGCCTTGCAATTTTCATCAAAACGTGGCAAAATTTGTCCTTTTTTGAAAATCAAAAATATAAGGGGTTAGCCTTGCATTTTCATCAAAAACGCGCACAATTTAACCTTTTTTTGGAAATCTAAAATATAAGGGATAAGCCTTGCAATTTTCATCAAAACGTGGCAAAATTTGTCCTTTTTTGAAAATCAAAAATATAAGGGGCTAGCCTTGCATTTTCATCAAGAATGGGCAACATTTGCCCTTTTTTTTGGAAATCTAAAATATAAGGGGTTAGCCTTGCATTTTCATAAAAAAATGGGCAAAATTTGACTATTTTTGGAAATTAAGAATATAAGGGGTTAGCCTTGCATTTTCATCAAAATTGGGCAAAATTTGTCCGTTTTTGAAAATCAAAAATATAAGGGGTTAGCCTTGCATTTTCATCCAAAATGGGCAAAATTTGACTAGTTTTGGAAATAAGAATATAAGGGGTTAGCCTTGCATTTTCATCAAAATTGGGCAACATTTGCCCTTTTTTTGGAAATCAAAAATATAAGGGGTTAGCCTTGCATTTTCATCAAAAATGGGCAAAATTTGACTATTTTTGGAAATTAAGGATATAAGGGGTTAGCCTTGCATTTTCATCAAAATTGGGCAAAATTTGTCCGTTTTTGAAAATCAAAAATATAAGGGGTTAACCTTGCATTTTCATCAAAAACGGGCAAAATTTGACTAATTTTGGAAATTAAGACATGTAAGAATATAAGGGGTTAGCCTTGCATTTTCATCAAAAACAGGCAAAATTTGACTTTTTTTGGAAATCAAAAATATAAGGGGTTAGCCTTGCATTTTTCATAAAAAAATGGGCAAAATTTGACTATTTTTGGAAATTAAGAGTATAAGGGGTTAGCCTTGCATTTTCATCAAAATTGGGCAACATTTGCCCTTTTTTTGGAAATCAAAAATATAAGGGGTTAGCCTTGCATTTTCATCAAAAATGGGCAAAATTTGACTATTTTTGGAAATTAAGAATATAAGGGGTTAGCCTTGCATTTTCATCAAAATTGGGCAAAATTTGTCCGTTTTTGAAAATCAAAAATATAAGGGGTTAACCTTGCATTTTCATCAAAAACGGGCAAAATTTGACTAATTTTGGAAATTAAGAATATAAGGGGGTAGCCTTGCATTTTTCATTAAAATTGGGCAAAATTTGTCCTTTTCGAAAATCAAAAATATAAGGGGTAAGCCTTGCATTTTTCATCAAAATTGGGCAACATTTGCCCTTTTTTTGGAAATCAAAAATATAAGGGGTTAGCCTTGCATTTTCATCAAAAATGGGCAAAATTTGACATTTTTGAAGATAAAGAATATAAGGGGTTAGCCTTGCATTTTTCATCAAAATTGGGCAAAATTTGTCCTTTTTTGGAAATCAAAAATATAAGGGGTTAGCCTTGCATTTTCATCAAAATTTGGCAAAATTTGACTATTTTTGGACATTCAGAATATAAGGGGTTAGCCTTGCATTTTCATCAAAAATGGGCAAAATTTGACTATTTTTGCAAATAAAGAATATAAGGGGTTAGCCTTGCATTTTCATCAAAATTTGGCAAAATTTGACTATTTTTTGAAATTAAGAATATAAGGGGTTAGCCTTGCATTTTCATCAAAAATGGGCAAAATTTGACTATTTTTGGAAATAAAGAATATAAGGGGTTAGCCTTGCATTTTCATCAAAATTGGGCAAAATTTGACCTTTTTTTGTAAATTCAAGAATTTAAGGGGTTAGCCTTGCATTTTCATCAAAAATGGGCAAAATTTGACTATTTTTGGAAATTAAGAATATAAGGGGTTAGCCTTGCATTTTTCATCAAAAATGGGCAAAATTTGACTATTTTTGGAAATTAAGAATATAAGGGGTTAGCCTTGTATTTTCATCAAAATTGGGCAAAATTTGACCTTTTTTGAAAATAAAGAATATAAGGGGTTAGCCTTGCATTTTTCATCAAAATTGAGCAAAATTTGACCTTTTTTGAAAATCAAAAATATAAGGGGTTAGCCTTGCATTTTCATCAGAAATGGGCAAAATTTGACCTTTTTTGAAAATCAAAAATATAAGGGGTTAGCCTTGCATTTTCATCAAAAATGGGCAAAATTTGACTATTTTTGGAAATTAAGGATATAAGGGGTTAGGCTTGCATTTTTCATTAAAATTGGGCAAAATTTATCCCTTTTTGGAAATTAAGAATTATAAGGGGTTAGCCTTGCATTTTCATCAAAATTTGACATTTTTGAAGATAAAGAATATAAGGGGTTAGCCTTGCATTTTTCATCAAAATTGGGAAAAATTTGTCCTTTTTTGGAAATCAAAAATATAAGGGGTTAGCCTTGCATTTTTCATCAAAAATGGGCAAAATTTGACTATTTTTGGAAATTAAGAATATAAGGGGTTAGCCTTGCATTTTCATCAAAAATGGGCAAAAATTGTCTATTTTTGGAAATTAAGAATATAAGGGGTTAGCCTTGCATTTTTCATCAAAATTGGGCAAAATTTGTCCTTTTTTGGAAATCAAAAATGTAAGGGGTTAGCCTTGCATTTTCATCAAAAATGGGCAAAATTTGACTATTTTTGCAAATAAAGAATATAAGGGGTTAGCCTTGCATTTTAATCAAAATTTGGCAAAATTTGACCTTTTTTTAGGAAATTAAGAATATAAGGGGTTAGCCTTGCATTTTCATCAAAATTTGGCAAAATTTGACTATTTTTGGAAATTAAGAATATAAGGGGTTAGCCTTGCATTTTCATCAAAATTTGGCAAAATTTGACCTTTTTTGTAAATAAAGAATTTAAGGGGTTAGCCTTGCATTTTTCATCAAAATTGGGCAAAATTTGACCTTTTTTCGAAAATCAAAAATATAAGGGGTTAGCCTTGCATTTTCATCAAAAATGGGCAAAATTTGACTATTTTTGGAAATTAAGAATATAAGGGGTTAGCCTTGCATTTTTCATCAAAATTGAGCAAAATTTGACCTTTTTTGAAAATCAAAAATATAAGGGGTTAGCCTTGCATTTTCATCAAAAATGGGCAAAATTTGACCTTTTTTGAAAATCAAAAATATTAGGGGTTAGCCTTGCATTTTCATCAAAAATGGGCAAAATTTGACTGTTTTTGGAAATTAAGAATATAAGGGGTTAGCCTTGCATTTTCATCAAAAATGGGCAAAATTTGATCTTTTTTTGAAAATCAAAATAAAAGGGGTTAGCCTTGCATTTTCATCAAAAATGGGCAAAATTTGACTGTTTTTGGAAATTAAGAATATAAGGGGTTAGCCTTGCATTTTCATCAAAATTGGGCAAAATTTGATCTTTTTTTGAAAATAAAGAATATAAGGGGTTAGCCTTGCATTTTTCATCAAAATTGGGCAAAATTTGACCTACTTTGAAAATAAAAATATAAGGGGTTAGCCTTGCATTTTCATCAAAAATGGGCAAAATTTGACTATTTTTGGAAATTAAGAATATAAAGGGTTAGCCTTGCATTTTCATCAAAAATGGGCAAAAATTGACTATTTTTGGAAATAAAGAATATAAGGGGTTAGCCTTGCATTTTCATCAAAATTCGGCAAAATTTGACTATTTTTGAAAATCAAAAATATAACGGGTTAGCCTTGCATTTTCATCAAAAATGGGCAAAATTTGACTTTTTTTCGAAATTAAGAATATAAGGGGTAAGCCTTACATTTTCATCAAAATTGGGCAAAATTTGACCTTTTTTTGTAAATAAAGAATTTAAGGGGTTAACCTTGCATTTGCAAAAAATGTAAGGGGGAAGTATTAAAGCCTTGCATTTTTATCAAAAAGTCCAATTTTGTCCAATGTTGATAAAAATGCAAGGTTAACCCCTTACATTCTTGATTTCTTGATTTTTGATCAAATTTGGCCAAAAATTGACTTTTGTCCAAACAAGTCAGAAATGCCTTTGCATGCAAGAGGAGCACTGATCAATTGACCTGCAAACAATAAACATATTGAAGATTTTGGTGAAAATTGACTTTTTGAGACAAAAATGAACAATTTTCACAACTTTTGGCCCAAATGTTCGTCACAATATTCTTTTAAAAGCCGAGCTGTCCATAATTTCAGTTGGAATGTCTTCTAAGAACCTTCAGGCATCTTCCCTGCTACTTTCAAGAAATTTCATTTTTCAGCCAAAATTGTAAAAATATTCAAGGGGTTAGTTAGCCTTACATTTTTTATCAAATAATTGCCAAAAATTGACTTTTTCCCAAACAACGCAGATAAGTCTCTGGATGCAAGAGAGCATCAATCAACATTCAAACAATAAACATATTCAAGATTGGGGCGAAAATCATTGACTTATTAAACAAAAATTAATAATTTTCACCATTTTTGCCCCACATTTTCATCACAAGTTTTCTGTCAAATGCTGAATCTGTACATACATGTAACTCCAGTTGCAATGTCTTTCAGGGATCTTTAGGCATCTTTCCTCCTACTTTCAAGAAATTTCATTTTTCGGCCAAAATTGAAGAAAAAAACTGCAAGGGGTTAACCTTACATTTTCCATCAAATTTGGCCAAAAATTGCCTTTCTCCAAACAAGCTTCGACTTATTATGACAAAAAATAATAATTTTCACAACTTTTAATAAGACCTTTGAAAAAAAGGCACAATCTCGATTGATGTATTCATGTTGTCCATCATGTTCTATTTTGACTAATAAATACGCAATGATGCTAATTATGTTGATAAATTTAATCAGTTAATCTACTCAAAAATACTCCAACTATTTAAAGTGATAGGAATTCTAGAACTGGAATTCGCACCGTAGAACATTAGATACAGATACACGCCTCTATTACCATTGGTAAAACTTTTCAAGAGTGGTTCAAGATTATTTGTTGAAACTATTAAGATGATTGATAATCGTACTGAGTGATTTAAACTTGGAGAGAATGTCAATCTTTTCAATTATGATGGAGAAAAACATGGAAAAATATAAATCATTAGTTCAAAGAATCCAAGTTAAGGACATTTAAAATAAGTACATGAAGAACAACTTTCATAGCTTGAAAAGACATAACTATCCCTGAGAATCTGTCTGTTCTAAACATTATTGTCACTTCCCTGCCCGAAGCGAACCCTAAAACATGATTTCAAATTAGTTCGCTCAAAATTGCAGTTGGGAAAATTATGATAGTACCCACTCTATGAGGCTTAGATAAATCATTGCCTGCAGGACTCCACAGAAAAGAGTACAGTGTCCTGTTGTCTTCTTAATTTCAACAGTTCTCTTGCTACAGTCACAGTAAACTTCCAATAGTGAAACTTCAACAAATAAATCTGAAGTTTCTCATATTTATACAGATAATGAATTCCTACATGTGTGTAAGCGCTCAATGATATGAGACGTGGCTTTGAGTTTACAACAGCCCTTATGTCTAAACATTTTTAACAAACTCTTTGATAGTACTCTAAAATAGCAATGTAAACAGAAATAAATATATAAAGATACTAAGATAACATAAAAAAATAAAATACATATAAATATTACACCTCACCTATGCTATAAAGAGTGTGTGTGCGTATGTGTTTATCGAGGAAATACAAGGTACATCCAACTTCAGCCTGAGATTTCAACTTGTTGGAAGTTAGAACTACTTGAGGTAAAGTATCCTGCTAAAATACAAGGCCGTGAACCTACATGTAATAATCTGAAAGGGATTTAGCCACAACGCTGAACAAAGAGGTCATGACGACCTCGTAAGCTTCATCATGCTTAATCAACAGACTCTGAAAGGTTACTATTAATTTCTATGTCAATATGACAGAGTCCAATATTAGTCCACATGCTGCTAATCTGAAAGGTGTCACAAAATAAGCTACTGCAGCCCCAAACATAAAATGCAAAGTAGTCCAACATTACCAATGTAAGTTTATTTACAATGAAAATGACCTGTTTTTATTCGAAGGTATTGCATGTATTCAAATGCGCGACTTGGTTAAACTCTTCGTATAATGTTTAAACAATTTCAAATAAAAACTGAGTTGTTAAACCAATGAAACACTTTGTGCATTGCCAATGATCATTACAGCATTAATGTACATGAACATTACTCATACATATATATAGACTCATAATGTAGTTTTGTGGCTACGATACTCAATATCACATGTACAGACTTTTCATATATTGCTACTTGCACTGAATTCATGGAATGGTTCAAAAACATGACACACACTTTGGTTATCGTACATGTACATCATAATACGAAACTTTAATATTAAAATTTTCCAACGAAATTTTTACATCAATACCGGTACATTTTCACAAATATACATTCAATACCTAATACAAAAAAATACCGACATTAAGTACCTGGGTTGTCACACTGTTTTGGTGTTCTTACAAAAACATTATATTTCTATTTGGATATGAAAGACACATTATGGTATTTTATGTACATCTCTGGACAATACTTCCTTTTGTTTGCGAACTTTGTGCATTTGTTTTTGACTAGAGTTGTAGTCAATTCAATCACAAGTCATCCACTCATAAACTCCGAATCTCAAGGCATTTAACATCAACTTGACATTGAGGGTGCAGACCAGTAAATAGGCCCAAAATAAACCTTTTCGGAGTTCCAACTGCGCGCATTCGTAACCTGTGACAACGCACATTGTTTGTCTCAAATGCCCTTTGACAGTACCCACAATGCACAAACAGCCTTTTTGTAAAGTCAGTGGCGCGATGATGTCAAAGGCCATTTGAGACAAACAATGCGCGTTGTCACAGGTTACGAATGCGCAACAGGTTACGAACTCAGAAAAGGCTTATTGCCTACGCTGGCCAAATCACGATTTGCAAGCCCTCAAATTCTCCGGTATAAGAGCATTTTTGAGGGCAGAGAACTTGAGGATTTGTAAAAAAGAAGGGTGGAAGCCGAGCAAAGGACTACGAGCTCGTATTTCTGTGAAAATTTGATGAAATTAGGCCCTAAAAAGGCTTTATTTTGCAATGGAGCGTAGGCATCCTTTTTCAAAATGGCGATGGGCTTCAGAACTACTTTTAGGGGTGATCATCTTTGGATTGAATTTTCTTTCAAAAGTCCTTGGTTAACTCCCCAAAAATTGAACAGAAACTGAAAGATGATGAAATAAGCTTTAATTTGTTGCATGTCTCAAACACCTTGGAGAGTTGTGAGTATTTTTAATAATTTTGGGAAGTGCGCGTAATTATCATTGAGGTCTATGGGAGTCTATCTACTGGTCTGCAACCATCAGCTCTGTGCGTGAACAAGAGAGGGCGCTGTTTGATCACTTTCGAGGGACCAGTGGACGGGACACACTGCGTGTGCTTAATTGTTCGAGTGCGTATAGATAATTTTAAGGCTGCATCCGAATCAACTGTCTAGAGCTAGGTCTAGGTCCGCGCCCATTGAAAATACGCGGGGACGCGCTGACAATAGACGTAGCCGTAGCTCTGGAAGCCCGTTTCGGACACGGCCTTATTCAGATTAATTATATTCTGAATGTGCACAAAGCCATACCATAAAGCAAGCGTCAGGCGTCGTCATCGATGCGTTCCAATGTCCCTCCCAGTGGTCTCCCCAACTCTCCCTTTCTTACCGTTGAGGGGGTACTTGTGCACAGAGCCCATAATTTGTCTCGTACATGATTCCTAGCTTCAGGAATGATTCACTGAGTTGGCCGTCATTGGTTCCCCTGATGGATGTCTTGTTTTGAAGCAGGCTACCGGTTTCTCCTTGGGTCTAGACACAGGGAGCCACTTGTAGGACAAATCTTGACCAGCCGGGACACTCCAGTCGTAATGATCCACGAGATATTTGCAGACGGTCTGTGAACATTCACATCGATTCGGGCCATTCACAATGCAGTGCGCCACCACAAGTTTGCCACGGAGAGTCCATTTTTCAAGTTTACGGTCAACAAAACGTGGCCCATTTGTGTCAGTCGACAACTTAAGCTATTTTGTTACAGATTGGGGCACAGCATTCTGCCGCCTTACAAAAAAACCACCATTTTGGTAGAAAGAAAAGAAAAGGGCAAACAGATACTCCAATCATACACTAACGAAACTACTGACTGGAAAAATGAACAATTTCAAATGTCCCGCGCTGCGAATTTGTCAACCATCTCCCACAATGCACTGGGAAAAAGGAACTCTCTGAGGCAAAATCTTGGTGGCGCACTGCATTGTGAATCGCCCGAATTCACACAATTTTAATTCAGTAACCCTCCTGTACAAACATGCATTCTTTGCAAAGTTTTCCTTTCAGTCAAAATCAATCAAGTGACTGTTTTTAATAGTGACATGTAAGAGCTCCCAGCCTACATAAAGCAGGATTGACTGGCTGTGACTATTTATGTAACTTGATACAGCTGTGGTTTGACTATAGGTGATTGATAAGCCAGCTGTGCCTACCAGTTGCCTGTTTTTGTCTGTTGCCTGATTTTGACTAGTCACAGTGCTTACTTGAAATATGATCTGACTGTTAGTGACTAGCCTGTGTAAAAGGCATGGCAGGGGAAGAGGATTGATTTCTTTTGACTGTCTGTGACTGTTCAGATAGCAGGAGGGTTAAAGATTTGGCATTTCAAAGATCCATTCTCTCATCCACTTGATGGCTACCAAAGTACAAGTCATACTTTTATTTTTGTAAACAGCCCACAAATATAATACTCAAAACCTTGAAAGTACAAAAAAATACCTTTAAAAAGGACAACACTTTCTTTAACCCCAGTGGGGTGTGGAACAACACTTATACGCCATTTCTACTTTTTTCTCAACAAGAGCAAAGTGACATCACTTACCTCAATGCTTGTCTTCATCAGTGCAGTACCGACGCAGGAACGCGCCCCACCGCCATACGTGAAGAGCAAACTCGCATCTGATCCCCTGCGACAAAATAATACAAGACAAAAGGTTCACATTCATCTTCCAACAATTGAAGAATACAACAATAGTTCCCCTCTTAAGTTGGTTTTTGGTTTCAAATTCTGCTCTACTTGAAATTGACGGGAAGACCATTTTGTAAATGTAAGTATCACCATATGAATTGTGGACTTTGGTTGTCTTATAGTAATTTCAGACTAGTGTTAATTAAATTTACATTTTTAAACAGTTAGGGGAGAGAACAGGTACAAGTTGACCAAAGCTACCTACCACAACAATTGTTAGGCATGACTCCACAGTCTAGTAAATAGAAAATTAATACATCAACTTCGCCTTTTCTGAAACCAAAATCCATTTAGGTCAACTAGGATCACTCCAAATACTTGTTGGTTCAGTGGGGTTCCTGAATGACAGGATCCCCATATCTGTCTGTCAGTTATACTGACTATCTGTCTGTGTGGTACGTCTTTCTATGATTTAATACCTTTCTGACCAGCGTTCTGGTCTGAACGTCTCTGGATGCGAGAAGACAGTCGGATCTCTGTGAGCTGCATGAGTGATGTACACAACGGCATGATCCTTGGGTATCTTGTAGCCGTCAATTACACATTCCTGCAAGAGAAATACCATACAATGAGAATTATTGCACACTGAGAAATATTGCACACTGAGAAATATTGCACACTGAGAAATATTGCACGCTGGGAGATCATGAGATTCTGCTGGAACCCTAGAACATTAAGACAGACACAAGAGAAATCAGAAATGGCACCTCAACCAACAGAGTTGATTAGAGACTATTTCTTTCCACCCATGAAGTCCATGTAAACCAAACAAAATTCACAACCCTCTCCATCCACTCAGATTAATCTTTGATCAACCCTTACCCAACCCACCCTAACCAAAACAAAACCCATCCTAACCCAACCCACCCCAACCCTAACCAAACCCACCCGAACCCAACCCACCTAAACCCAACCCACGCAAACCCATCCTACGTCACTTTGACCCTGCCAACCCTAGCCCAACCCAACCTAACCTAACCCACGCAAACACAACCCACATCACCCTAACCCTGCCAACCCTAACCCAACTTATCCTAACCCAACCCACCCCAACCCTAACCAAACCCACCCGAGCCCAACCCACGCAAACCCAACCTACGTCACCCCAACCCTGCCAACCGTAACCCAACTCACCCTAACTCTACCCAACCCCAACCCACCCCACCCTTACTCAACACCATCCTAACCCTAACCCACCCTAACCCTGCCAACCCTAACTCAACTAACCCACCACCCGTACCCAACCCATACCACCCTTATCCAAACCCACCCCACCCCACCCCACCCCAACCCTCCCCGCTGAACCCATCATACCCTACCCGCCCTAATCTAACCCAATCCAACAAAACCAATTTTAACCCATTCAGATCCCTCATATGATTATCTTACCCTATTTGCAATCCTTCTACCTCCCAGGAATGGTGGCCAAAGTCTCTCGACCTCAAGTAGAATATGTCTTAGACATTCACTCTCGCTACTTGCTTGTCTCCTCAAGGCTTTCTGCATGGTGAATACAGAGATGGAAATTAGGGACATCACAGAAAACAATTTTAAAAACCTACTTTAGGCTTTAGAAATACAACAGTTTTGACATTTATTAAGAACACAATGTTCATCGTCGTTACTGGACTGCATTAACAGAGTCATAGTCGAGTCATTAAAAAAGTCAATCACAAGGCAAAAAAAACCTTGTTCACAAGTCATCACCAGTCAATTACTAGACAATCACAAGTCCGCCAAAAGTCACTCACAAGTTATCCAGTCCCAAGTCAACTCCAAAGTTATTCAAATGAACCGCAACAAAGGCATTCCTACGTCAATAATCATCCCCTGTTACTCGTGACTGGACTTGTGATTTGACTTGTGATGGACTTGTGATGGACTTGTGATGGACTCATGATTTGACTTGTGATTGCCCTGTTATTGTCTTGGATTGACTTGTGTTTGAATTACGATACTTATGAATGACTTGTGATTGGCTTGTGATTGACTTGTGATCGACTTACGTTTTGACGTGTGTTTTGACTTGTGATGGACTTGTGATTGACTTATGATTTGACTTGTGATTGACATGGGATTCGTTTATGACTGACGTGTGATTGACTTGTGATTAAGTTGTGATTAACTAGTGACAGACTACAAATCTCAGCATTGACTTACTTTGTCTGGGCCTCCTGTGGCCAATACAAATGACGTCATCATAGAAGCCAGAGCTTTGGGTACGAGAGCCGACGTGAAGAGTAGCGTGTGTTGCTCCATTTCTGCCGTTGTCTGGAAACCTGCCTGGGTCATCTGCTCCAACAGCGAGCCATCCTGAATGTGCGCCAACCTCTCATGGATAATCTCTAATAGTTTTCCCTGCATGTGTACAAACGATATGATTTTCAACCAAGAAGTCAACCTTAAAATACCTAGGGATTTTTAACTTGGCTAAACCACAAGGAAATAAGATATTCACTCCCGATTTGACTTGTGATTTGAATTTTGATAGACTAGACTGCAACCTACCTTTGCCTCCAAGGCTCTGCTGAATGTCGATGTAAACATGGAGACTCTCAGACTCAGTGGTATGGAGATAATTCCTGATACAAAAACCAAAATATAATAAGTCTACATTCTTTCAAAAAGACAATTCCACATGTGACAAAACTGCATGGTTTTGTCATTATGACACTCCTATGTGTATTTGTTACATGTTACTGTGCCAAGCAATCCGTTCCATTCATTGTCTAAAACTTTACAAAATAAATACGGAGCTTGTTAATGTGCTTATAAATCCATGCCATTACACAGTGGTCAGTGAAATTGTCTACCATGCGAGTGCGTAGTGGTGAGTGCAATGATACTTCTGCTCATCACGCCAATGTGTGGTGAGTTTCACCATGCAAATGTGTGGTGAGTTTCACCACACCAGTGTGTGGTGAGTTTCACCACACAGGGGTGTGAGTGACCACTGATAAAAACAGCTGAAAACAGCTGAAAAAGGTGTAAAATAGCAGAACTTTGGAAATCTCCTATACTTTTGTACATAGAAAGTGAGGGGAAAAAAGCTGTAATCCCCCCCCAAAAAAACTGAAATCAGCTATAAAGCTGAGATTTCACACCCCTGACCACACCAGTGTGTAGTGAGTTTCGCCACACAAGTGCATAGTGGTCAGGCCAAAAAAAGATAATAGTTCTACTTTCGTTTACCCTGCCTACCCTATTTTGACAGCCCCTACCCTATTTTTTTTTTTGGGGGGGGGGGAGTGAGAAAAATTAAAAACCTATCAATTACTGCCTTTTACCTTTGACTGCACGCGGACACCTACATATGATCAACACCCAATAAAATGCGCCCCCCCCCCCCAAAAAAAAACCAACAATTCCCTACCTAACTATTTTTGTGGGCCTCAGTGCAATCACTTACCATGCCAGTGTGTAGTGGTGAGTGCAATGATACTTTCTGTTATCTCTGGGTGCTCGTCTGCATCTAGGCCCAAGAAAAGCGCCAACGACAACTCGGTGGCAAACCTCTTGAAGACATTGTACACACTCACACATTGGCTGCAGAAAAGAAAATGAACATTCCATGCAATATAGACTGCTGTTTGGAAAAAAAACACAATGTTGTTGCAATGGTTTGACCAATCAGGATCCAGAATTCAAGTTTGCCGGAATAAAAAAAATTCAAAATGCATGCTTCCTTTTAATTTAACCGTACTTTCAAAAGAACAAAAAATTAATTTCTTGAAAAAGGCCAATAACCGATATTCCAAACTATGAGTCTCAGGAATGAGTTACTGAGTTTTCTAACCTTTTGTGAAGCGAGGTGAAGTGTTTCTTAGTGAGTTTCTGGATGAGATTGTGAATGCTTGGTATCGTCTGAGCACCATACATCAGGTGAATCACCCTGTGCAGCCTTGCTGCCTCCGTGGGGACGTCAAACATGATGTTATCTCCGAATATCGGCTGCAGGAAGGCTCTGTAACCCATGTCAAAGTGGGCATTTTTCTCTGTGACGGAAGGGTTTTCATAAATTATACATTCATTTAATAAATACGTTTGAGTCATGATTTGGAAAATCTGAAATCGCCAGAAAAGCCATTGACTTCTCAGCTTTTGACAACTCTTTTTGTCTACGACTACAATAGTATTTTTCTGGTTTTGTTGTTTTCCAATCAATTTCAAGTGCTCTAGCAAAAGTCAATACGGAAATCAAATTCTAAAAACTTCAGTCTGGTTTGGGAGACAGTGAGCCACTTCCTTGTAATCAAAACATTTCGTCAATAACTTCAGTAAAGTCACAAGTCAAACACAAGTACCACTGGATGAATGACAACACAAGAATGGTTAATACTTCACCAAAGAACGGATGTCATATCTTCCAACATACCTCCATGAAAAAAAATGAAAAAAAGTAAGACTGCTGCAAACTGCTTACTGACTGGATGGACCTGAAATATATAAATCTTAAAATTAATGTGGCCTGACGTTGCGAACTTAGCAAGTTCTTCTTCAGAGGCTAAAACAGAAATGACAGAGATACATACATTAACATGGGGGTGCACACAAACATGCAGGGCTGAAAGAAGAAACACAAAAGGAGGATTAGGAGGGAAAGGTGTGGAAAGATGCAGGGGAGGGTGGATGAGAGAACAAAGAAACAAAGGGAGATGGCAAACCACAAGGGGTCTGGTGTAAACAGGGGAGGGACCAGAAAGGGGAAGGATCAAAGGTCACAGGGAGTGGGAACGGACAAAAGAGTGTGAGAGTGAAGGGATGATGCGGGGGGGGGGGGGCAGTATAGAGGTGGAAAGGGATGAAAGATGGCGGGAGATGTGTTAACACAAACAAGGAAGACCAGATGGATTATCTGTAACAGAGGACAATGGAGGAAGAAAAGGATTAATCATTTCCAAGTTGGATGTTGAGACCATGTGGTTGAATAGTTCGAAGACGATTCATCCACACCTTCTCTCTGCTGAGGCGAACTGACTCTTTGCGATGGCCAAGAGATTCAATGCCCTGCAAAATCATATCAGAAATGGAGTGGTTAGGCAGGTTGAAGTGATGACCAACAGGGGTGTCTAGTTTCTTGGTGTTGACCGTTGACCGATGGGCATAGAAACGCTTCTTGAGCGTATTCTTAGTCTCACCTACATACTGCACTCCACAGACCCTGCAAGAAATGAGATATATGACATTAGAGGTGTTACAAGTGATGTTACCAATGGTTCTGTGGGTAGTGACAGAAGAGTGGCCAGAAAAGGAGTCAGACTCCTGGATATGAATCTGGCAGACAACACATCTGGAACTGCACTTGAAAGTACCATGCTGGGTGGGAGGGGATGCATCTAAGGATGGGACTTCAGCTCGAACAATCAAGTCCCGTAGATTTCGAGGACGCCTGTAAGCCAATGTGGGGCCGTTGGGGATGGCGCGGGCAAGGCGATCTGAAGTATGGAGGATATGATGATTGTCATTAGTGATTTTGCGGAGGGGAGGGAGATTGGGGTGAAACGTGGTAACCAAGGGAATCATGGGTTTGGCCATGGCATCAGGGGCCTTTCCCGTGAGAGCTTGATTTCTGGGGATAGATTTAGCTCTGGCAATGGCACGATGAACTTGGCGAGAGCTGTGACCCCTGGCCACCAAGTTGTTCTTCAGTATCTGTGTATGGCGGGAGAAATCGGAATCATTAGAACAAATTCTTCTGAGTCTAAGTGCCTGGCTAAACGCTATGCCAGTTTTGCAGTGCCTGGGGTGACAGCTGGAGGAGTGGAGGTACTGGTGGGTGTCTGTGGGTTTGGAATACAGGTCAGTGGTTAGTGAGTTGCCTTGCTTGCGGACGGTGACATCCAGAAAGTGGGTTTGGTGAGCCGAGAACTCCGATGTGAATTTGATGGTTCTGTGGAAGGAATTGATGTGGTTAGTGAAGGTCAAGAGACTGTCCTCATCACTGGTCCAGATGAAGAAAACATCATCAATATATCTCCACCAGATCCAAGGGCGACATGGGGCCGAGGCAAGAATGTGTTCTTCGAGGTCACCCATGAAGAGGCAAGCCATCGACGGGGCCATGCGAGTGCCCATTGCAGTGCCGTGTACCTGTAGATAGTGTTCACCAAGGAAGGAAAAATTGTTCTTCGTTAGTATAAGTCTCATGAGGGTGCCAACATCACTGATGGGAGGAGTCGTGTGTCCTGCCTTGGCCAGAGCCAAGGAGCAAGCACGAACTCCCTCCTCATGTGGGATGTTAGTGTACAGAGATGAGACGTCGAAAGTCCCAATGATGGCTGTGCTGGGAATCTGGTCCTTGATTCCTTCAAGCTTGCGTAGGAAGTCTGGGGTGTCGTGAATGTATGACGAAATCTGTGGGACAAGGGGTTTGAGAAAACTGTCAATGAACAGGGAGATGCGTTCCGTGGGTGAGCCATTACCGGAGATGATGGGTCTACCGGGGTTGCCAGCCTTGTGAATCTTGGGTAGCAGGTAAAATCTGGCAGTCCTACAATCACAGGGAGAAAGAAATTTGTGAGCTTTCTTCGACAACTGGTCACGTGATCGCATATCGTCAAGTACCTGTTGTATATCTTGACAGAAAGTGCCTGTGGGGTCAGAGTCAAGGCGGGTATAGTTAGTGCGATTATCCAACTGGCGGTGGGCCTCATCAATGTACTGCTGACGATCCATGATGACCACAGCTGAACCTTTATCTGCTGGCTTGATGATGATGTCGGTGCGAGAGCGCAAGGAGTTGAGAGCCAGGCGCTCCTCTCTGGGGAGATTATCATGAGTCCTGTGGGGGAAGTTGTCCGGGTTAGTGACTTGGGAATTGATAACTTGAACGTATGTCTCTATGGCTGAATTTGTTCTAATGATTCCGATTTCTCCCGCCATACACAGATACTGAAGAACAACTTGGTGGCCAGGGGTCACAGCTCTCGCCAAGTTCATCGTGCCATTGCCAGAGCTAAATCTATCCCCAGAAATCAAGCTCTCACGGGAAAGGCCCCTGATGCCATGGCCAAACCCATGATTCCCTTGGTTACCACGTTTCACCCCAATCTCCCTCCCCTCCGCAAAATCACTAATGACAATCATCATATCCTCCATACTTCAGATCGCCTTGCCCGCGCCATCCCCAACGGCCCCACATTGGCTTACAGGCGTCCTCGAAATCTACGGGACTTGATTGTTCGAGCTGAAGTCCCATCCTTAGATGCATCCCCTCCCACCCAGCATGGTACTTTCAAGTGCAGTTCCAGATGTGTTGTCTGCCAGATTCATATCCAGGAGTCTGACTCCTTTTCTGGCCACTCTTCTGTCACTACCCACAGAACCATTGGTAACATCACTTGTAACACCTCTAATGTCATATATCTCATTTCTTGCAGGGTCTGTGGAGTGCAGTATGTAGGTGAGACTAAGAATACGCTCAAGAAGCGTTTCTATGCCCATCGGTCAACGGTCAACACCAAGAAACTAGACACCCCTGTTGGTCATCACTTCAACCTGCCTAACCACTCCATTTCTGATATGATTTTGCAGGGCATTGAATCTCTTGGCCATCGCAAAGAGTCAGTTCGCCTCAGCAGAGAGAAGGTGTGGATGAATCGTCTTCGAACTATTCAACCACATGGTCTCAACATCCAACTTGGAAATGATTAATCCTTTTCTTCCTCCATTGTCCTCTGTTACAGATAATCCATCTGGTCTTCCTTGTTTGTGTTAACACATCTCCCGCCATCTTTCATCCCTTTCCACCTCTATACTGCCCCCCCCCCCCCCCCCCGCATCATCCCTTCACTCTCACACTCTTTTGTCCGTTCCCACTCCCTGTGACCTTTGATCCTTCCCCTTTCTGGTCCCTCCCCTGTTTACACCAGACCCCTTGTGGTTTGCCATCTCCCTTTGTTTCTTTGTTCTCTCATCCACCCTCCCCTGCATCTTTCCACACCTTTCCCTCCTAATCCTCCTTTTGTGTTTCTTCTTTCAGCCCTGCATGTTTGTGTGCACCCCCATGTTAATGTATGTATCTCTGTCATTTCTGTTTTAGCCTCTGAAGAAGAACTTGCTAAGTTCGCAACGTCAGGCCACATTAATTTTAAGATTAACATACCTCCAGTTAGCTCCTTCACCCCGTTGATGGAACCAATGAAAACAGTGGGTTTGTTGAGCAGACGCGACAGAAACACCCGTGACCCATACTCCTCCATACGCCAATTGGCAAATGCTATAGGATTCTTGTAGAACTCGGCCGACTTGTCCCCAATGATGGTGTAGCCTGCACTACCCTTAGGGGTAGCCATGGGGTCACGGGTGTGGTGTGGCAGAAGGGGGGGGGGGGCAGAGGAGGGGATAGGGAGTGAAGGAAGGGGAAACGTCAAGGGGCAAGATTGGACAGAGGTAGATGAGATGTGACTTGCTGTTCCTGGAACATCAGAGAAAAGTACAGATACATATATTTTAAAACAAAATTTATGGGTCATATAGATATGATCATCTAACATCGTCAGTCACGTAGACTTGAGTCAAGGTGCACGTGGTAACCCAGACACGAAAAAAGACCATGCGAGTGGCGGAGCTTGTTGGCTCCGTGCACAGCCACTGCATTCGCGGTTTTTGTGTGTGTCCAAGTTACCACGTGACTGACGATACAGCCCGCGCATACAAATGAGTGCAAACGAACATGGAAATTACAGAAAGAATGTTGCAACCTGACGCTACTTCAGCGGTTGTCTACAAAGTCTATGCCTATGGAGAGTCAACAAAATAGTTCTTAGTAAGTATTTCCTAACAAAATTTGAAATGTTTCTCAGTCCCAGATTCATGTCTTATCATCATTTTTGCAACTGGCCTTGGCTTCATTGAGATGATCATGGAGGTAGAATTTCCATGCGATGATATATGATGAAAAAAGTAGCATCAGGTTGCAACATTCTTTCCGAAATGACACAAAAAATTAGTCCCACTAACTGGGTCGCTAGAACTCCTTTTTTGACATTTGGGATGTTACTGAACAGTAACATCCCAAATGTCAAAAAAGGAGTTCTAGCGACCCAGTTACTCAGGGACTAACAAAAAATAAACCTCTGACATGTCTGAGAAAAGCGGTACATGTACTTCCTTTCTATCACTATAAAGAAGGTGAGTGTGCTTCAAAAACTACATTACAACAATAAATAGTCTAATGTAAAAATCAAAATTTGATAAAGTTCTAGTTAGTTCTACATTTTCGGGTAGGCATGTTCCAAGTGGCCCTTAATTATGGAGGTAGTTGTTATGGGGCCGGCCGGGGCCGGGCGGAACTGCACTGCACATTTCCGGAGCTACGACGTCGGGTAGCCACGCGTAAAACAGCCATTCTTATTAAGGGTATAACTTTAATTAGACCCGTGAACGTGGCTTGCTTGTTGTATACAACGCCACGTTCACGGGTCTAAACTTTAATATAACACCACCCGGAAATAAAAAAAAACATATTTACCTAACGGTCCATGTTTATTCTATAGACGACTGTAGAATTCCCCCTCCCTAAACAATTACAAATCGGATAAATTTGTTGACATAAAAAAGACATTGAGTGAATTAGGTTAAAAAAATATTTGCCGGTTGCAAAACAGCGCCCTCAATTGACTAGATAGCGAAAAAAAGGATGAATTATTATGTTAATATATGGGCGCGTACCAAAATACTATCCCCTCTGACGGTATAAATAAAAATATAAATATTCAATAAAATCATATTTTGCGCATAATTATGCACACACTTATCATATAAAATGTTTAGATGTAAATAAAAGTTCTACAAGATGTCAAACAGATAAAACTGTTGTCACAAACTGAATTTGAATGATACATTTTGGATGTTCTATTCTGTTAGAGGTAATGTCGATGATAGCCACGCCTATTTGTTGTTGTCCAGGTTTGGCGCGAAATTTTGCACATGTATACAGCTGATCACGAATTCACGATCGACGGATTGCGCGGCTTGCGATTGGAAATTTGAAACAAATTGCTGGAATTTTTGTTCAATTTTTACACAAGTTGATGACAAGAAATGATCGGACAACAAAAGATTTCATCTTTCTTCCGAGTTGCATCGGTCGGGAGTGGAACAAAACGACAGCTCGGAACAGATAATGTAAGTGGACAAAATCAAAATGGGCCGGACCGCGCAGGTAAACAATCTGCCAATGAATCTGCATCTGCAGTGATTGCCATGATTGCGATCAAATCATTGTATAGACCAATTAAGGCGGAGTGGAAAGGACAATGTATTTTTTTATTGTGTGGATAGGCATGACGCCATGAGTAAACCTTTCGTGTAGGCTATTCATTATTTTTATTATTATTATTTTTTAAATTTTAATATTAATAATTAAAATGACTTAGGCCTAGTTAGCCTCCGTCATGTCTGTTTCAGACACCTGCAACGCATAGTGGCCCATTCCTTGTGGTATACCAATAAAAATGGCAATATGTTGTTATGATTTATGATGCCCCATAAAATTACGTCAACTAAAAACTAAGTTAATTCTAATTCCTTGTAATAATTTGATTATGTGTCAGTTTATATATGTCGACATATGATTCTATATTATTTTATAAATTTGTCTTCTTTAAAATTCAACCTGTTTACTGCAGGGATCAACACCACCCAAGAAACTGAAATCCATTGAATCAGGAGATGCCGTCACCAGTCTCAGCCCTGAACAGAAAGAGAGAATGGCACAACAACGAGCCAAAGCATTGGAGAAACTACACAGCAAACAAACAAACCTGCCAACTGCTGGAATCGCTGGGGCGCCTCCTGGAATCGGACAATCCTGGGCGAGGGCGCTGTCTGGGGAGTTCAATAAGCCGTACTTCAACAAAGTATGACAGATTTACCGGAAAATCAGGCCCCTACCAGAACAAATCCATAACAAATCAGTAACATGAGATTGATGGTACTCATTTGTCATATCAGTTCTGAACAAAGGAAGAAATCACTTTTAAGGGAAATGTTGCAGGAACATTAATTGGAGGAGTTACATCAAGTAACAGATTGTTTTTTAAACTCTTTAGGCAAGGAACACAAATTCCTCAGTGTGTACACATAAATCAGAAATAAACTTGGTGACTCGGTATCATATATGCTTGAGGAATATTGCCATAGCTTCCACCATGAAGTCAAATTATTGTTATGAAAAAGAAAGGAAATAATTTTTTTTAATATAATTGAACAACATTTTGAACTTTTTCCCCGTCTTTCTGACAGCTTCAAGACTTTGTTGAGAAGGAGCGACAATCTAAGACTATCTACCCACCAGCCGACCAAGTCTACTCGTGGACACAGCTCTGTTCCATCCATGATGTATGTTACTTCATCTCTCTACAAGCCATAGTCTAATATTCATTTCATTTTGGAACAATTTTACTTCTATTCTGTCATCGACTAAAATTTTTAATTTGAAAGCCATTTTTTCCTAATTAGCCACATGTTCCTGATTTTGCATTTTTTTTTTTTTTCACACCAGGTCAAGGTTGTAATTTTGGGGCAGGATCCCTACCATGGACCGGGGCAAGCTCATGGTACGTATAATGAGAGTTCAAACAGCTCGAGAATTCACTGTCACAAGACTAGGATAGCAGGGTAAAGAAACAAAGACAGACAGTCTCATAACTGAAGAGACTAAACAGTGACGCAAGCAAACCTCAACACCAAACAAAAAGTAAATCAGAGAGAAATCTTAAAATGGCCGCACAAAAGATGAAGCACTTTCACACATGAATAACAGAATTATTTTGTGTATTTCCAACTTCAGGTTTGTGTTTCAGTGTCAAGAAAGGAGTGTCGCCACCTCCCAGGTAAAATTGCTTTCTGCTTTCTCAGACTTTTCCATGTGGAACTTGATCCAAATTGTACCGATGGGTTTACATAAGAAAACGCTTCCCCCTGTCCTGAGTCTGTAGTTAATTTCACGAGGGAGTTTCCCATATTTGTTTTCTTTTCCACTGGGAATATGTCCAAAAGTGCAACAAATTCTTGTTCCTCTTGGGAAGAGGCCTTTGTTCTCAAAGGCAAAGAAAACTCCAGATTTAAAGATGCTGCCTTAATTATTAAAATAGTTCACAAGCAGTCAGGAATGTGACATTGTTGCTAGAAAATGAGGTACCTGTATAGAAGAAAAGTATACGCAGATGTATGAAGCCAATAATTTGAAGGAAAAAAAAGAAATCGAGCAATTGAATTAGACTTATATCCCTGAAACTTATTTTTCGTATCAATCTTTAGTTTGGTGAACATGTTCAAGGAATTGTCCACGGATATTGATGGTTTTGAGACTCCTAGGCATGGAAATCTGACAGGATGGGCCAAGCAAGGTAGGCATTTTGTTGCTTTCCTCGAAGTATTTCAATCCAGATTTGAGATCTGAAAAACAAAGAAACCTACAGACATTAAAGGGTCACATTTCCTACATAGATAATTTTGTCCAAACCGTGGCATGAAAACTGGCAGGCACAATTTTTAGAAGATCTCTCATTTAACAATTTACCACAGTGCCAAAGAGGCATTTCAAGATGCACTCTGAAGCAGAAATCCCAACTCCAGAATATCTAACACTCCCATAATGTTGACTTTGATTCCGTCCGTCCAGCCAATTTATTTGATATCTTGATTTCCAGGGGTGCTGCTTCTGAACGCGGTGCTGACCGTGCAGGCTCACCAGGCCAACTCCAACAAAGACAAAGGATGGGAAAAGTTCACAGATGCCGTCATCAGTTGGCTGAATAAACACTGTGATGATATCGTCTTCCTGCTGTGGGGGTCTTATGCACAGAAGAAAGGCAGCATCATAAACACCGTACGTAAACAAATTTTGTCAAACTCCTGGCTGACTTACCGCAACTTCTGCTGTTTCTAATTGAAAATTGAAAAAAAGATAGCTGGCTTATCAATCACCTCCAGTAAAAACATGGCTGTATCAAACTAACAAGGGAGTTAACAACAGGCACTTCACTGATTTTGACTGCTGTGATGACGAAGCTGAATGTCAGCCAGTGAGGTAGAACTTATCGTCATGCCTGAAATGTTAAATCATTTCACACTTTTGTTTTTTCTAACTTCCACAGAAACGCCACCACGTACTGAAGGCCGTCCACCCATCTCCCTTGTCTGTCTACCGAGGCTTCTACGGCTGCAAGCATTTCTCCAAGACCAACGAGATTCTGAAGAAAGTTGGCAAGACACAGATAGACTGGGGTGATCTTAACGCAGAATAGCCGCACTCTGATCTGTGAAAAAATCTTGAGGGGAGGTTGTCACCAAAAATTGAACAAAATCATAGTGTTTTCTCCCCAGAAGAGCAAGCATTTATCAAACAATTTCTTTTTAGTCAATGGAGATTGCATTTACAGAAAACAAAGCATTGAAGGTTGCAGCTATGTTTTAGCTCATTAGCATTAATGAATATTACGTCAACTGACATTTCGTTAAAAATTCATTTCAAGTTTCAGCTGTTAAAAAATGGCAAGTTACCCAGAAACCAAATTTAAAGGAAACGTTTAAGATATTTTTTTGGGAAAAAATGCTCATTTCAGACAATTGTAGTTTATTAACAAAATTATCCTCGCTTTTGATTACTTGTACGAATAACTGGAGCACGCCAGCTTTTCTGTCTTTTTCGTTTAATTTGTATTGCCTGTTGTTGCTTAGTTTCGAATTTGCCTGTGAACTGTGCTTGTAACCTCATTCGCTTTCAAGTAGGATGCCATTTCCCCTTTGTAAAAAAAGAGAATATTTTTATAGTTTTGACACTGTCTTATTCCGATGCATGTTTTAAGTATCATTTTATTGAATTTGGAAACACGTCCAGCGATCTTGTTATTTCGTTCCTCACTTACACTGCCTTATCACACAAAACTGTATATACTTCATATTTTGTGAGCGTTAAAGGGAATATACAACATTTGCAAACATCGAAAAATAAAACTACCAAGTTTTTGCGAAATACCTTAATAGGATGTTGGTAAATGACAGTCTAAAGCATCCTGTAAAATTATGGCACCTGGTATACTGTCATTTTCAAGAAAAGTGGTATTTTTGTATCAATTTCCAACGCTGATCGGCCGATCCATTTCCATCCATTTCTGAAAATTACAGCAAAAGCAAATGATGTATATTCCCTTTAAGTTTTAATAAAGTTTCATTTAAACAACACTGACGTGTATTTGTTGCTTGCTGACTGTCAAATGGTGCCCTGGGTTACATAAGCAAACATGACGATTGTGAACACAGTAACTGTGTTTATCAAGTTACATTTATTTTATCATCTATAATGAAATATTTTATAAATCACTGATGTCTGTATTCTGAGTTGCATGCTCTTTTCAGCTGATGCAAATGAAACAATGGAAAAGGATGCAACCCAACAGTTGCACATCACAAAGTGAAAATGGAGTCTACTTTATCATATGTTGTTTGATCATGTTGTCAATCCATGAACGGGGATTGACACCATGAAAAGGTTGAATCTGATTATTTTTTTTCACAATGAGCATACACATGGCACAGCAATTACAGCATACGGTGTTGGATTCAGCGAATCAAAATCATTTCAGGACAATATAATTCCCAATAAAACTGCGGTAGGCTTCACTCGTGATGACAACCAGGAGGGGTTTTGAAAAACCTACAATTGTGAAATAGGCAATTTGGCTTAGTCCACCGATAAAACTAATTTATTGAAAATCTACTGTCGTTAATTCGTCACTCAAAATTTAAGACCACCCAGACCTGATGCGGAAGCATGTGCTGACAGCACATTGGCTGCTTGACTGGTTTCCAATAGCAACCTAGCCTCTCTCAGCCAATCAGCAACCACCTTGCGTGGCATGCCTTGGAGCTGGTTGATGTAACGCACGGCCTGCTCCAGGTCACCCTGCTCGATGTAGTAACTAGCAAAGTCTAGCAGTCGAAATGTGTCTAAAGTGTCCGGGTCAATCTCCTGATTTGGGAGCGGAGTCGATGGGGTCCTCTGGGGGAAGATGAGCAAGGATTGTAGGAAGGAGAGAAGATACTTGGCGAGGCCACTGCCTGATTCGTCAACCATAGAGACGCGACGACAGACTCTGTTGACGTCTTCCCAACGTTGGCGTAAGGCTTCCTCGGTCTGTACTCCTTGAATCAGAGCTTTCTCGGGAATTGATTTGACGACGGCATCCACGAAGGCATTGTCTTCAGCGGCATCAGTCACAGCTACGATCTGATTGGCTAATGGTGCCGAGATGGTGTCACCTGCAATGCAACAATAGTTGGTGTTCTACGTTACTAGTACTAGACGTGGCTCAGGTCTGGCCTACAGAAAACCAAGATAATTTTCGGGACTGAAAACAAGGAAAAATATCTCAACCTGTCCATTAGAAAGCTGGTTCTACAAGGGACTACCATCGCCAATGTTCTGTATCAAACTGAAATTAAGTATACAGTAAAAAGAAGACGTATTGTTAAAAAAGACTCCAATGATGCTTTAAAGGCATTTTTGGCTGAACTAAACCAAAAAGAAGAATTTGCTGGTATCCAATCTAATCTGCTGTAGAACTCCAGAAGCTCAGAGATTAGTCAAGTATAAGGATCCACTGAATTTGTTGGGCACAATATTAAATCGAACTGTTAATCACTAGAATCAGCCTGATTGATATTTAGAGCCCTCATACTTGATTACTTCAGGAGGGAACAGGCTGCAGAGAACTGCAAGACAGCAACACTGAACCTGACTCAAAATGGACAGAGAACTTTGGTGCCCATTAAATTTTTCGATGGAGTCCTGCCTTTTTCCCAACAGATATCTACTTTCCACTCAAGCTAGCCTACCTGATGCAATGGTTCTCTTCAAGTTTTCACATGCCAACCAGAGTTCTTGTGCTTTCTGGACCTGTTTCTCCATGCCAGCACGGCCTGAACCAAAAACAAAAAACCGCTGGTCACAAAAATAATGGTGCTTAATCAAATACAACCATTACACTGATGACAAGAAATTTGGATGAAACCAGAATAGTTGGTTTACACCAATGTATGATTACGAAGTTTTCGTTTGGTATGAAAGTGGGACAAGAACATTTCGAACAATGACACAAACTCTTGTAAATTTTCTGCAAAAAATTAAAGCCCATTTACATTCCGTGATACTGCAGCCAGTCTGTGCTGCTTAATGTCAATGTGTCAGTTAGAGTTAAGGCTGGTTCATACTCGACGAATGCGAATGCGTGACATCCAGTGTTGCCGCTGCGAATTCACAAAAGTTGAACATATTTCAACTGCGGCAAATTTTGCAGAGAAAGTTTTCTGACGTGAAATTCACATTGCATTTGCATTTGCATGAAGTACGAACGGCGGCCTTTATGTTGACTGTCTCTCAGGAATGTAGTCAAATCCATCACAAGACTTGTGACACAAGTCAAGTCGCGAGCAATTCACGAGTCCAGTCAATAGAAACAATGGATGAACAAGAACAAAGGAATGCCTTTGTCAAAGCTCATTTGAATAGCTTTGTGAGTTGAATTGGGACTGGAGGACTTGTGATGGGCTTGCAGGGACTTGTGGTGGACTGCTGTCTCTAGGCAATGCCAAAAGAAGAACTCTAAAGAAGCAAGATCATTCCAAACACTCCCTTGCCCAACAACGAATCCTTCTTCCTTACCTTCCACGGCTGACTGTACACCCTTCAGCGTGGCCAGAGCACCCACGAGCTTCTGATGGTACTGATTCTGTTCCTGGATGCGTACATCCTGCTCACGTTGCTGTAGTTGCTTATCAAACTCCAGCTCCTGCTGTCGTAGCACGTCAGCGAGGTGGTCGCTGTGGGCCGCCGCCTGGCGACGAAGCTGAACACGCATTTCTTTCTCACTCTCTCTCATGACCTCCTCCATCTGATAACAGGAAATAAACAAACAATTGAAATACAATTGAAATAATAATTTCTGACAAGAATGGTTACCTCTCTAAAGACTCCCATCAGTCTTAACGTCTTAAATTCATCACCAATCATCACGTCAATCTTAATCACTTAACGTCTCTAACCACCCAATCTCCTTCTTAGCTCTATGTGATTCTAGCCTCCTGCTCATAGCAGTTGTTGCTGTTTGAATCTAGCCTGCCCCTCTGCCTTGTAAGTAATAAAAGTAAAGTCTCTCTAAAAAAAATATGGTTCATCAGGCCAGTGATTATATTCAGTTTAACTTGGTGTGAAACAAGAGAGAATTATTTCATTCCCCTTGGATGGGATGCCAGTCCATAGCAGAGTACTCCCCTGGTATTAATGCCGATACCCGTTTATACTCCTGGGTGGGCCGAGGCAGGTACGAGTGAAGTGACTCGCCCAAGGACACAACATATGGAAAGCTGCTGGGTTTGAACCCCTGACCCTCTGATCACGAGTCAAAAACCCAAACCACCAGACAACACACCCCTATTGTATCTTTTTCTAGCTCACCCTTTCTCAGCTACATTTGACTCATAGTCATCAATGAAATCTTCCCATCTTAGGAAATCTTCCCAATTTCTCACCTTTTTCTCAAGATCCACAGCAAAGACTCCTTCCTTCCTCTCCAGCTCTCTATTGATAGCATCCACCGTGTCCTGCTCTAGTTCCGTCTTCTGTTTCTCTATGGCTTCTTGCAATCGTCGTTGTTCCAAGGCCTGTTGCTCAGCTAGCTGATGCTGCAGCTGTTCAATGCGACGATGACCGTGAGCAATCAAGGAATTCAGCTCGTCTTCAGTCAGTTTCTTGCCTTAGAGACGAAGGACACAGCAAATGGGAATGACAGATAAGACATTATACATTATATACATTATTGTTCTTTCTTTCTTATTCTGAAGTTTCTAACCTATGCAAAACAGATTTTTGTATGAATTCATCTTGTCCTTTAAATTTATTCCTTTTCTGTTAATGCCTAGATGGAAAATGTAAAACCTCATTTGCCATTTTCAATTTTGTAAATTGTGCAAATCCTTCACTGTTTCAGCAATGTAGGTAAATGTCTAATACCGAATGAGGACATTTTTTTTCACTTTTCAGAAAGTTTTTATCAGAATATTTAAAAATACGCCAAAAAAAAAATCAAATTTCAAATGTGTTCTATGTTCTATTTGATAAATTCTAAACAACACATGATTCTTACCCTAAAATTAAAAGGGTTTTTGTCAAACAGAAATCAACAACAAAAAGACTAAGTATTTTCAATTGCAGTCCTGTACTAGAAACCAACCCATTTTGACAAATATCTCCATCTTGACTCAGCACAATCATTTTGTTGCAATACCTTTTTCTCCCAGCTTGACTTCTGGCATGAGGCTCCTCAGCTCCTTAGTAAATTGTTCCTTCCCTTCTTGGATCAAGTCATGGTATTCCTTCAGGATGTTGGATTCAGTCTGAGCTGTCACCACCTTAGGGGGTTCAAAACAAATCATGACTTGACTAGCTGCTTTGAAATTCTGTATCTTGGGTCTCCAGACAAGCGTGTGATGTAAACTTTCCTGTTACCCAAATTCTTCTGTCAACTTCTGTTAGCATTTCGAGGCTAATACAATGTATAATAAAGACAAATTATTTTATTTTGTTTTCCTTTCCTTTGTTTTCTTACATGCATGATGCCCCTCAAATTTTTATTACACCACTGTATTTAGGATGTTCTTAGGACAATGGGACTGTGAAAGAACTTACTACAGCAAAATGTTAAAGGGTCCATGGGATGAATTTTTCTTAGAAACACATTTTGTTCAGCATTGTGGTAAGTGGTCTCTGTAAGTAAACATGCATAATCCAACGACCAATCAAATTCAATGCCCACTGCCTGTCTTTCCATCCCTGTGTATGAGTAGGACATAATGCCAGTCTATGTTTACCTCAGCTGTGGCAGTATCTAGGTCGTAGGTCATGTCCTTCAGGTGTTTGGCTGCATCAGTGATGGTTGGACTGGTACCAAGTCTAGGTTTCTTCTCTTGGCTGTCCGCAATCACAACTTGAAGTTTTTCAAGCTCCAGCCTGAGAAATCACAAGACATCACAAGTTCATTCACAAGACATCACAAGTTCATTCACAAGACATCACAAGTTCATTCACAAGACATCACAAGTTCATTCACAAGACATCACAAGTTATCATAATGCATAAGGGGGTTAGGATTAAAGTAACTGATCTTTAACAGCTGAAATTGATCAACTAACTTGGCAGCTTGCGCGTAGTCGTCTGCTACTTTCAACGCCTGGATTTTTGCCTCCGCGGCCTCCACGACCCTCGTCCACTGCGCTCGCTTGTCAGCTGTGTCACTCTGAAGAAACATAAACAAAGAAAACAGTAAAGGTGTGTGTGTAGATAACACCACTGTTCAACAGAGTTCAACTATGTGGAAAAAGGTATGTGGATGAATGGGGTAAACATGCAAACGGAAATGTAGAAATATTACACCGGTCCATATTTTTATCATATGTTCAGTTGCCATTGAAATATTATATCAACAACTGTGGATGAGGGAGCCTTTCTGTGGAAAGACAGAAACACTACAATGTCATGTTTATATAGATATATATCTTTTTAACTGAATGTACAGTTGAAGAATATTAAGAAAAACTAGCAAACATTTGACAAATTTGTCTTCTAGTGCAAAATTCCATCACTCCAAAATTAGCAAAGCATTCATAGAATGAAAGTTGATAAGTTGTGGATGAACAACATGTTCAACAGAAGTGTGGACATAATGTCAATGAGAAAGATTGGGCAAGGACCATTAGTTGACTAATGGTTGAATTGTGACGTAAAATACACCTGCACACTAAGAGTAATATGCAAACGCCTCCTACCTAATGCTAAGCAAAAATTTTGTCGGGAAACTAGATCCTGGCTCCCTGCTGTGCATAATGATGCACTCGGCTATTGGTAACCAGTGAAGGTCAGGTTCACAATAGTGGACTAGAGTGGTTCCACCATCCTGCGTTCAAGAGAAGTTAGTCGAACTACAGTTAACCACTGTCTGCGCCCAAAACTCAATATTCTACCTACCTGGGGTTCATCCATGGCTTCTTTGAGTCTGTCTCGGTGCTCTTCTGTTAAGACGACCGCTTTCTTCTGCGCGTCGATAGCATCCTGGGTGAGTTGAGCACTGCTCGCTGTTATGGTGTCGATGATGGTTTCAAAAGCTGTCCAAATCAAATCACCAAAATTGTTACTTTAGTGTCAAAGTCTTTAGTCTTAAAAAAAAATTGGTCAAGTCTCAAGGGTCAATTATCTAATTTACTTCTTGTAGATGAAAACAACTGTCCTGACAAATTGCCCTGATGTCTACAGCCGTGTACAACCTCATTGTGTTCGCGTTTGTAACAACGGGCAAGCTATGTGTTATTTTGCCGGTGACAACACAGTCTTAATAATTACTGAAACACCAAAAATACTCTTTTCTTTCTTGTGTTTTCATCATTGTTTCATATTTCTCATTTCGGAGCATCGTGGCCTCATGGTCTGGAGCATTGGATTCATGATCTGCGGGTAAGTCTGCAGGTTGTGGGTTTGAATCCAGCCTGGGGTTACGGTGCGTGTGCCCTTGGGCAAGGCACTTTGTCACTCATTGCTTCTCCCCACCCAGGAGTAAATGGGTACTTGTGAGGGCAGAGATGGTCATTGTGGTTGATTCTAGCTGCCTTACGCCGAAATGGCAGCATGGAGCTGTATGCTGCCCAGGGAGCTGAGATTGTCTTTTGAATGTTTCACTAGCCCGATGATCAGGGGTAATAATAATGTAGATGGCTTTGATCCTAGTTAAAAGCGTTTTATAAATATCCATTATTATTTCTTCTGTATTATAAGTGCCATTATATCAAACACATAAACCTAAATGAATCTTTGAGAAAGGACTTGGGACATCTTACCAGCCAGATCAGCTGCATCATCAATCTCCTGCTCAATCATCTTCTCATGTAACTCCTTGGCTCTTTGCTCTTCCTCTCGCTCCCTCCGCAACCTCTCCAGCCGCGATTCCTCTTCTGCCGTCCTCAACTCTGCAGATTCTTTATCCTGTGTGAGAAGTGAAGGATGTATCACATAAGCTTTATTTGTATACCTTTTTGTCACATCTTTATCACGTAAAAACACTGATTTTCTAAACACTAGAAAACATTTTTTAGTATTTATTGAGGGCAACTTTCTCTCCTTCTGAAGAACCCAGAATGTTTTGAATCTGAAGCTTGAATCAAAATCTATAGCTTTTAAATTTCAATGCCTTCACATACCTTGTCTGAGCCTACAACCTCTGCTGGATTGTCCTGAGCTACAGGGCCTGTCTTCTCACTGACAACTTCCTTCACTTCTTGCTTAGTATCTTGGAAAAGCAATGCCGGCCTACATTAAAAATAAGAATTAAAACAAATCACAAACTAATGTCCGCAAACTAGGCAACAAGCCATTTCATGTTTGCATTTAGGAAATGAATCAATTTCTGTCCGTTTATTTCAAATATGAATGCCATCAACCAACATATTGTAGCATTTCCTTTTAACCTGACTTGCATTCATTGTTCAAGTCATTTGTACTCACATTTGTGAAGGACTAGTAGTCTTTAGTGCTGGTAGACCCTCAAAAATAGTATCATCATCCTTGAAGAGATACGGAGAGATTCCGAGAAGAATAGGCCAGTTGCTCTCCACCTGCTTGCGGAATTCAGGGTTAGCTCTGCCATAGGCGACCGCTCCGACAAACGTCCCACCAGTCACTAGCACAGAACCCGCCAGAAACTTCAGAAAGCGGCGGCCGGATCTGTCGACAAGGGTCAGAAAAGATTATTTCTCGTTAAGTTTAAAAGAACGTTCTACAACACCAGCAAATTACTTTATCTTGGGAGTTGGGGGAGGTGTTGGAAGAATTCACCATGGTCTATGTGGTGAAATGTTATAGTGAATGTCCTTTAATTTCTTCTTAAACTTTTTTTTCCTATTTTCCTCTGAACCTTGGTTTTCAACAAGTAATAATGAAGATTATTCAGTCATATTACTCCATGGCATAGCTTAGGTAGCAGCATATCATAGTCATACCACTTAACTTTATTTCATGCCCTTTTTTCAATGAACTGATTCAGTGGCGTAAAAAAACACATTACACTTGGGGCGCTGTTCATGATACTGATGTACATCTTATGTTTACACGCCTTAACATTAAATCAAACATCATTTTTTTCTCTCCGTTTGTCAGGGCTATTAAACACATTTTTGGTTGTTGGAAACTAATGGAAAGTTTGAAAAATACCTCCAAATCCGCCTTTCTTTCCCCTCACCACGAAAAAAGTGGTGGGGGGGGGGGAGATGATCCATAGCCAATACACCTAGTCGAAAAGTTGGGGGGGGGGGAAGGTGGGGGGGGGGGGAAGGGGGGGGAAGGGGGGGGGAAGGTGGGGGAAGGGGGGGGGGGGGGAGGCAATATACATGTATGTATACTCCCTACTTCCATCTCCCTAGACTGATTAAACCCCGCCCAGAATGTAATCACAGCTGTGATTGCTCAAAACATAAATGGGGCGGGGCTTAATGGATTGGTCTTTTACCCAATCACCTTCAAGTGTCTTCTCTGCAATATCTCACTAGGGTCTCTGTACTAATAACATGGCTATGGCTTGGCATTACACACACATCTATGGAAGTAGCTGAATCTACTTTCCATAGACACGTGTGCTACTGTTCAGTGTTAGCTGTAGCCAGGGGCTAATTTCACGGCGCTGCTAAGCACAAACATTTGCTTAGCACACAAAAAAAGTCTGGCTTATAAAAGCAGGTTCCCAGCCAAAACTCCATGTGATGTATATTGCTCATGACTAGTATTCAGCTGTTGTTTGCTTAGCATGAAAATCACATGGAGTTTTGGCTGGTAACCTGCTTTTACAAGCCATACTTTTTTTGTGCTAAACAAATTTGTGTGCTTAGCAGCGCCGTGAAATTGGGCCCTTCAGACAGCCTTACCTTCTCGGTGGTAGAGGTGGCTGAGGGGGAGGGGCTTCTGTCTTTGTACACAACTGACATCTGGCTGGCACCTTTAGGCTCCGCCCAGCAAAACTACAGGCACACTGTAAAGGACAAACAGTCAGATTACTTCTGTGATCTCTCGGAGACCTCTCTTATGGTTTGTCTCTTCAAGATCCCCCGTGGGGCACTTCAATTAGCATGAACAGTTGACAGCATTCGGGACCCCACACTGTTGAAGGGGAAACTCCCCGAATACTCCTCTCCAGCGTCAGATGTAAGCCAGCCAACTGAACCCAGTGAGCTCATTAAATTAATGGAGTGGTTTAGGAATATGCACTAGTAAATAACAAGTCAGGGTCCATCTTCATATGTGCTTTTCAACTTGGGGGATCACGAACACTATCGGACAATAGGTGGTGCTTTTTAGTGTGGCACAATTGCTGACATTTGGGCAACATTCCAAGAAGGGTACTCATTAACAAAAAGGACGCATGTGAAAAACAGGCACTTGTGTACAAAAGGGCACTAATTACAAAATACGGATTAATCTGAAGAAAAAAGATGCTTAAGTCTGCAAAAGTCACTTTGGTACCTGACAGTCACCTACAAACGTGAGTTTTGAACAGAACTCGTAAAAAAAATAGAGGTGTCTTAAAGGTAAGGATTACAATGGCATAGTAGGCTGGCTAATATAATAATTTTTTTAAAATATATTTTATACAAAGTTTGTTTTTGACGTGGTTTTGTAGAAAACTAAAAGAAACATTCTAATGCAAGTGTGAAGTACGTCAGAATCTGCAATTTGCAAACCAGAAAAATTGATTTTAAGCAGGGATTTTTTTGCGACTCTGAAATGTGTATGCTTGACATGCTTGATGCAGAGTAAAATGTGATTATTTTGCATAGGCCTACATACAATAAGGAGAAACATGATAGAAATTGTCAAAACTCATGATTTGTCAATTATTTTGCCTTTATTCGTGCTTATTTCAATAATTATAAGGCAGACACCAATCATTATTTCAAAAATTCTTATAAGCCCCTAGGCCTATTTGAAAACTAAATTAGTAAATAGGGCCTAGACATGAAATTGGGCTGTACGAATGCGTAAAGAAATCATAAGTTTAATCACAATTTTCCTATTCACAAAAAGTGTCACCCAAATCAACAGGGCCCCATTTAGAAAATTGCAGAGCTGTAACCAGGTAACGATAGCCGATGAAAATCGCATTGTGGCTGCTGTAAACATAGCCACTTTTTTTTTCGTTATCATAAAATTGTCTTTTTTTCTCAAAATTCCCTGGACACCTCTGAAATTTGCACGCTTGAGAGGGCGCCCTCTGTCGATCCTACTCGAATCGTATGCTGCTGGTACAATTTGCTGTCCGGAAACTAGGCAACAAGCCATTTCATGTTTGCATTTAGGAAATGAATCATTTTCTGTCCGTTTATTTCAAATTAAGATTCAGTTACAATTCGCCGTTCTACTCATCTAAAAAGAAAGTAAAGCAAAAACCAAATACCTTGATTTTACTCGAAGTTTGTGTAGTCGTTCGCCACATTTTGCCGGCGGGCGCACGTTCATCATCCAAATGACCTTTGACCCAGATTACGTGCCTTAGAAACCTCCGGTGGCCACGAAAGGCCTTTACACGTGGGAGTAATTATTGCTCGAAATTGGGGGGGGGGAGGCGGGAAGCCATCCTTATGTTTGCGGGGACAGGAAATAAAGAGGAAAATAACATCATACTCCAACCAGTGCGCCTCCATGTGTACTAAGGCCTGGATTTTTTAGTGGGAGGGGAGCTTCCCTGCAATCATGGAGCTATGCGGAGCCCCATGCTGCAACCGGACCCGTTGATTATACCCTAATCTCCGAGTCATCATCATTCACTTTATGATGACACTGTGTAGCTCAATTTCCCATTATTGCATCGTCGTCAAAATGAAAAAAAATCTCAAAACAAACTATGGACCAAACCAGAAAACTCGCCGAATTCAGAAAAAAATGATAATAGTTCTTTTCAGCAGAAAAGAATTCCCCTTCCCCTCAGTCTTAGAGCGAATAGCGGCCGACTCAGATGGGCCCGCGGTAATTTTATGGTAACAGGAAAATAATAGGATACGAAATAATAGGATATAGCCTGGAAAGCCTGGAAAGCAATTAAAACTTTGTACGTATACACGGTTTTTAAATCCATGAAAATCGGCCAGCCAAATCTCGCTTCTACGAATCACGTTGAAGTTTTATACAGATATCACATTTTTCTTTTCTTTTTTGGTGATCCGATCAGAAAGTCACTAATGCAATGCAATTTTTTTTTTAATGCAATCCTTGAACATATGTACATGTAACCTAATTTTCCATAATCTCGTTTGAAGTTTCATTTTGTAATTTTAATCGGTATTTTGGTCCCTTTTGGGTTTTTACGATAAATCAAATTTAGTTCGACAAGAAACCTTAATAATGTTAAACCTATGTTTCAGCACAGAAAGTCGCCAGAATGTTTGAGATTTTGAGCTCCTAAATTTTCTTTTCTTTGGTGATTCTTTGTTGTGTCAGTACAAATCAGTATGCCAAATGAGAAAACTTTTCTTACAGATTGATGTTTTAAATGTCCAGCAATTTCTTTGTTGTGGTCCACAAGTTTAACAGAAACCCCTAAATTATATCACAACAACGCCCTCACACTGTTGTCCGGAAAAAGCATGGCCGCTTTTTGTATTTTTTTTGCACTTTTCAATGAAATATCACAAAGGTATGTCAAATTTTGAACACAATTTTAAGAGAATAGAAAGTTGCACAAAATTTGTTCCTCAGAAAATGCATTTCATAGACACTTGAAGAACAGCTTTTTGTTTTTACCGTACCATGACAAACATTCAACTCATGCACACCGAACGGATATGAGAACCGCAGGGAAAAAGTACATGTACCTGACCAAATTGAGTTCCAGGATTTCCGACTTAGACATGCCGCAAGTTTATATATACATGTAATTCCCTTTGCGGCATTGTCCCTAAAAGGGCCAGGGGCGGAATCCGCCCCCCCCCCCCCCTCCTCAACTTTTTCCGCGATAGCTTTTTAAAAAATAAAAAAAAGCAATTCGCAACCTAAGCTGTTATGACTTTTTTAGCCTTGAGCCTTGCGCATCTTTTAATACCAAAAACATAAAAATCAGACCACGGGTTGCTACGCAGCGAAAACTTTTCCAGCGCTACGCGCCGAGAAACTGAATTTTCCCATATACGTCGTGTACACTGAGCACAATTACCATTCATTCATATGAATAATTAATTAGCCATAATTCCAAAAATCCTTTGACCTATAGTCACGAAATTTCTTGGGTATGTTCATAATGAGTTGCTCTAAAGTATCGATATAGGGAATTCGTGTGATACCAGTGTTAAAATAACTGGGAAAACCTATATATAAAAAATAATCGTACAGATAATACAAGATAACGGGTCACTAAATTGCAAAATACAAGGTTATAAGCGACTTAATCCGGTAAATAAATCCAGTAATATCCTCATAATAATGGTATGATAAAGTGTTAAATGTCACTGCACCAGGCATCATTGCCGGTAATTGATTATACGGAGGCTAATAAGGAACAGACAAGTCACGGAGGTTGTAAAACGCAAACAAAATTTGCTAAACAGCAGCTAATTACTGTGCCTGTGTTTACCGAGTAAGCAGTTTGTTCTCAAGGTTTATTCTCTCTCTGGCGCATTGAGAGGATCGATTGAAGTGTCTTAGACGGCTGTGGTATTTTCTTCCACTTACACCACAACATCGGCCGGAGCACCTTCTTAAACTGCGGGTGTTTGACTCCGTAGATGATAGGATTAACACAACTGTTGAAGATCAAGATGGTAGCGCCGTACAGAGCGAACACATCACTGTTGGCAAAGAAGAGTGAGATGTAGTACGGAGAGATGCAGAGCGTGAACGCGCAGAAGACCCAGAAGAGATTCTTGGTAATCTGAAGCTGCTGACGGCTGATTTTGCGCTTTCTTGTGGCACCTTCATGCTCTTCGCGTTCCTCGATAACCTCAGCTGACGTACCGGCAGTTGACAGGGATGTCATGCTGGTTGCACTGGGCTCTATGGCATCTGTGGACCTGTCTTTGTTCTTTGTCTTGGTGAGTTGCTTTCTGAAGTGACGCCTGACATGGACATAGATGATGACATAGCTGACGATGACGGTGGTCATAGGGATGGGGTAGAATCCGATGGTTTGGACCAGGTTGTATTCATTAGCGCGAGGATGCAAGTCGTCATCGGTGCAGGTATCGTGTTTGAGATCGTGACCTAAGGCACCTACACCGATAGTAAGTGGAAAGGTGATAACAAAGATCGGGATAAGCCAGGAAAGAGTGACAATGAAGACCATCTTGCGAGGTGAGAAGATGCGATTGTAGGTGGCCAGTGGGCAAGTTATCTTGACAAGACGATTCAACGCAATGAAAGCCAGGTTGTACAGGCTGGCTCCTAGACCGGTGTGCCACATGAACGCAGCTATTTGGCACGGGATCTCGGTAGCTAGAGGCCAGGTACCATTACTCAGCAAAGCCACGCTTGACCAAGGCAGAGACAAGGAAGTCCACAGATCAGCCACACTCAGATTGACCACCAGAACATTAGTGGTCGTCCGGACTTGCTTACTGAGAATCGCTGCTATGATAACCATAGTGTTGCCTGTTATACCCAACACAGCTACGATGATCCACACGCAAGCTACAAACGCCAAAACGCCATACGAGTGAAGTTCAGGAGGTGCTTCAACGGTGGAGGCCATGGTTATATTTTGATCTTCAAAGTTCTGAGCCATGGTCGAGTTCAAATCACCCTCAGACATGATTGGTGCTTGGTTTTAATAAAGTGGTACAGACAGTACAGACCCAGTCGTAGCTAGGCCTATTGTTTCACCCGTCGACAACGAAACGTCTGTTTGGGGCAAACTTGCGGAAGTATATAGTCCATGCCAAAACTAACACAGACTTGTCCTGAAGCTGCCTGGACGGTACGGTCATATCATATTCACCACTGCGATAATAATCAAGAACTGTGCAGTTTGTCACACTGAACGAGGAAACCATCGAGGAAATAAGTGCTGTCACCCAGCCAGCGTAGAACCGCATATAGGCGTCTGATCTTTGCTTTTATTCCGAGTGTGATTAATTTTATGTTTTTTCCCGCATAAATCTCACTTAACCCATTGTGTCCTGTATGTTGCTATATCCTTGACTATCCGGAAGGTAAACCAAATGTGGTCAAAACGACCAACGTCGTGCAGACACGTTTATATTAACATATTAGGGGAACTCCCCATACTTCGCATCGGAAGCTAAGAACAGCGGCAAACACACGAAATGGTATACAAGGATATTCAAAGCTACTAGTAAGATGGCAGTTTACATAATATGCACCAAGCCCCGAAACCGATCCGGCCGACATTACTTACAGCTAAGATAATTTGAAATTTGAAAGTCACTTCCTCTTAAGTTCTCCATTATAATCTGCCAAAGTCCAAGTCATGAGTGTACTGTGTTGTCGAACTGTGTTGTTATCCATACAATAAATAGGGCTTTATTGATGTATACTTCAAAGAGCTAGAGCTTTGTCAACAGAGCTAGACACGGAAACCTCTCAGTCGAAATGAGTTTCGTGCTTAATTGTCAAACGTTCTCCTTATATACCCTAAAGGATAAAACTGATAGTCATGTGCATGGACAAATGAAAAGTTGCCTGCATGCAGTGCGAATCTATGAGGGCCCCCACCCCACCCTAGTCTGATTCAATTATAGCCCGTTGTCCATCCAACGGAGCCCTCCATATCAAACGTCTGATGATAATCTGATCTGAGCGAGCCAATCGGAGTCGATTTTAGAAATTGTGACGTCATTTCGATCGGAAATAATGGACTAAGCTGTTGATTGGTCAATTAGGCTGACATTTTTTGTAATACAACAACAGGTTACGGAAGATCCGATACAAGGCAACCGCCGAATGGCCAAAATCTCGAGGTCAAGATGACGGTCTTGTCAAGTTTTGCATAATTACTGGCCGAATCTGCTGGCATAGACTTTCCTAGAATTGAGGACAAGTCGTTAGACAGTCGTGTTATGTCTATCCGGTTCGTAAATAGTGCGACGTCGGTTCATTTTAGACCACGCCCACTGGCCATTAAATAGCATTAGATTGGAACCCAGAAGCTAAAGCAACTTGAGTTTTTATCCAATGGGCGCTATATAGTTATCAGTGGCGCGCGCGCGCGTTTGACGTTTTTACTAACGAACCGTGGAGCCACATATCCTGTGTAACGTCTGATAATGTCTACATGCAGGTACATGTACATATATTATGCAAGCTGCACGCCAGCCAATCGGAGTCGACTTTATTAAATCGTGACGTCATTTCATTCCTAAATTAGGACTAAATGGTTTGATTGGTCAATTCGCATGCAGTGTTTTGTAATAAAAGAAAAGGCCGGGCGCTTTATCGCCAAACATGATACAGAGCACGTGACACTTTTTTTTATACATTGTATATGACGCGCAACCGGTGTGTCAAGACCCGATCATACTTGTGAGGGCTCGTCGATTGGTCAAAATCTAGAGGTCAAGAGGCGATATAGTTGGAAAATGACAGATCTATACCAATACAGTAGGCCCTTCACTTTCATGGTACCTCAAGGGGCCGGAAGGGGGTTTTTACCATTAGGGTGTTGGCATGCATGTTTTATTGGGGGTGTGGGCGTGGGTGCATGATTTTCCTTTTTTTAATTGCGGCTTCAGGGGAGTAACCCCCTCCCGGTAACGTAAGTTTACCACTGATTTCCATGGTATGAGTGCTATTTCGTGAATAACTGATGGAGAAAGATGTATCAGGGGATGACACATTGATTCTTGGTTGCTGAAGTCACATTTTTGAGAAATAATTTAATTACCAGCAACAAATCAACCCTAATATCCATGCATATTTTAATGCACCATGTAGCTTTGGCATTTCGGAGCCACCGTAAGCAAGGTGAAAGAGCGCCCTCAAGAATCAATCCACCTACAATTACATTCTCAAAAATGAAAACAAGACATGAATTTCGTACGTGTTGTCGTATTTAGATCCTGAAATTGTCGTCTGTGATTCAGACAATGCGAGTAATACCACCCATCTGAGGTATTGATTTAGTAAAAATGATCTTTTAGCCTTCTTCAGTTTAAAATGTTGGTGTTATATTAAAGTCTAATAAATTACAAAATTACAAGTGAACTGAACTTGTCAAATGTCAAGTAGGCCTAATTTTAACAATTTTGTGTATCAATTTCAAACTAGGCCTATATCATCTACATTTGTACCAATGCCATCTTTATCAGCAGTACATGTACTATGTAGGCTATTTTTTTGGATAAATAATAGGCCCTAATTTTCAAAAGTTCAATATTTTGAGTTAATTATACTTTATTTCCTAACAATAACATTCATTAGTACGTACAAGTAGGCCTACATAATGATCATGTAGGCGTAGGCCCGTTATTTAGTATAACGTTGGGCTAGTATATTAATATTATAAACTCAAATATTAAACTGTTGAATATTTATTTATTTATAAAAAAATCCATTGTTTTTCCTATAAAGGTCGATATGGCAAGTGTTTGCCCAAAATGCAGCTCATCCGCTGTCATTGTGGAGGAGCATGGAGGGCAGCATCATCGTGTGTGCTCAGACTGCGGGGAGGTCATCGACTCCACAACTTCCTTCGAGCAGGAGAGAGATTACTGGAGCGGCGTCACAAGCTGCAATCAAGCAGGATCACTACAGAGTAACAACCTGGGCAGGTGCCGAAATATCCGACAGGGAGATCCTAACGCGCCCAGCAGGGGACTCAAGCCCTGGATTGATTACGTGAAGGAAGTCTGTAGCATGATGAGGCTGAATGGGGAGATGGAGAGAGGGGTCGTCGACCTTTTCAGCCAAGCATGGAGAGGGATTCTTAAGGGCAAGGGGCGAGCTAAGAAGCAAGCTCTGTGTGGGGCTGTTGTGTTTACAATTTGCCGACAGAATGACTGGCCGGTGGTTCTGTCGGATATCGCTGCTGTGGTACAGAGCACAGTCAAGGAGTTGTTTGCAGTGAAGCAGATACTGGAGAGCGAGTATAACATGCACGTTCCTAATACAAACATTGAGGATATTGTCAAGACTGTCTTGAAGAAGTACGGTTTTGTTGATCAGTCATTCGTTGATAAGTCTGTGAAGGTTGTCAGCTTGGCAAAGGATGCGTGGATCACCTGCGGCAGATCCTACGATGCTGTGATCGTGGCTGCCGCATTCCTGGTTTGGAAAGCGTCCCCGGAGGGACGAGGCAAAGGCAAACGACTGGCGACATTTCGTGGGCTGCTACCTCTCAAGCTGCCAGGCCAGACCGCAGCGCGTGTCAGAGAGATGCAAAGCACCTTGATGCAACTTGTCAAGAAACTTCCCTGGTTGAAGTTAAAGACTATCACCGCAGATATGACAACAAAGTACCTGGACGATGTCCTGCACATCAAGAAATATCTTATATCTTGTGCCGAGTTACCTAATGAACAGGACTCTAGGGATGATGAGGAATCAGCCACTACAGAAAAAACCAACAAAGACGAAACATCCAATCAATCCCTTAGTAGTTCATGCACCTCACCCACATTTTCACATCCTCTGTTGTGGAAACCAGGAAGGAAAAGAAAACTACCTTCCGATGATGAGGGCAACATCAAACATCACTGTAAATTGTTCACCAGTGCATCTTCAGTGGACACATTATTGGACCAAGAAACGGTAAACCTGGATGAAGAACTGACCGAGAAAGATATACCGGAATCTGAGATGCATTTGTATGTGCGCTCAGATAGGGAAGTGGAAGATATGCTGAGACTACAGACAGTAGTTGCTCAAGAAACGTCACCCTTACATCAAGGAGTAACAAACACTTAAGTTAAAGGAGTCTGGAAAGGGACTCGCACACTGCCAAAATGCAACTTCCAACATTCAAATTACGAGTTATTCTGTGAATTTAGGGCCTGAAGTGCAATATTATTCCTGTCCCTGTTACCTTGGTTCTTTGTAATGTGCCAATCAAGTATCATTTAGAATTACTTTAATCCATTCTTTATTTGTTGGGGAGGTAGTTTGGTATTCATAATCACTCTTGGGGAACGACTGCATTACAGAGTTTATCAGAATTATATAATCATAGATGTCATATGTAACGGGGACAGGAAAAAAGTGTAACCCAAGTTTACAGAGTGATCCAGATCATAAGATGGCAACATACTAGTCAGTTTTGTGTATTAACCATGGATAGTCATGAAGGAAATAAGGGTTTGTTGTTACATGTACATGTAATAATTGTTGAAAGATGTCTCGAAACTAAGTCAATAGAGGAAGTTGAAATGTGGTGAGAAGTATTACAAAAACACTCATGAACAGAAACAATGTGTAAAGTGCAACTTTCAAAGAAACTGAGAATATTATTTATAATTAAACGTTATTACAAAATCATTTCCTTTTAAACAATAACAAGTAACGTAGCAACTAAACATGTAATTGTGACATTTGTTAATTTGGATCAATTTGAATAAACTGAATAGAACTGACAAAAGGACAAACTGACCCAAAAAGGCATGCTTATTGTATGACATTGGCAAACTTTATTAAACCCTTTCAATACAATACTGACCACGAACACGTATACACATGTATGTATACGTACAAAACAAAAAGCTTTTTGGCAAACCTGTAGTACTATTGCAACAAGTGAAAATGCTTTCACAAAAGTTTTGGGGAGAAGTGCTAAAGTACTTTTTTTAGACCAGCAGGGTCTGATCAAATTCAGTTTAGTTTTTTTTTTATCAAATAAAGTAGTAAAGTAAAGTCTGTCCCGAGCCAATGTGGCTCATCAGGCCGGCATTTATCTCCGGTTTCAGTAGCATGAAACGACTAAGAATATTTCTACTCCCCCTGGACGGGATGCTAGTCCATCGCAGGTTACTCCCCAGCTAATGCCGGTACCCATTTATACTCCTGGGTGGAGAGAGGCAAGTGGATGGGGGTGAATCAAATAAATTGCACACAAATACACAAAGAATCACAGATATTGCACATTAACAATGAGCTGCACTATTTAAGATCCACAAAATTAACAAATTTGGATAAGTTACATGCACTCTGCATGAATAAAAGTAATAACACCTATAAATGTAATGCACAAGTTGTAATATACATGTACTTCACTCCATGTTTTCTTTTCTCTAAACAGGTAACATGCCACAGCCTCAGATCACATACATGAAGGGTTCATTTTCAAAAGCAGACAAGGGCCAGTTTGACAAAAATGGAGAAAAAAATATTTGCCAAAATAAAATAATATTCCTGAACAATTTTAATTCTTTTTTAAATGAAATTGTTCAAGAGTCCTCAAGATATGATGTAAGGGGCAGTCCACATTTGTGCACAAGTAATGGGTTCTGTGTTGTTTTCAAGCATATTTTCTCAAAAGTTGAAAATTGATAAACACATTTTGCTGCTTTTGCAAATGAACTTTTCACGTGTACCCTGTAGTATAGTACTTTCGTTAAACACTTAACTTTAAAAAATGTATGAAAATTCAAAGTGATGACAGTAAAGTTTCGAAGTTGTACTCAGAAACCCAACCAAAACAAAATACATATTAAAAAAAACCTAGTTTCGTGTTCTCTGAACAATTAATATAAATGCACATTTTATCTTTAAAAAAAAGTACTTAAATAGTTTTTAATACATTCTTTTGTATTTGTTTTAATGAAGGAGACGTAGCTTTTTAAAACTTACTTTGGCAAGCTTTTACATTGTATATAGATAAGTTCTGAAGTACTGTGAAATGTCAAGAGAATACACTATAATGGGCAAGGGTATGTAAAAGGCGAGTTTGTGTTACTACACTTAATAAATAACCACTATTTACAAACATAAACGATCAACTTTGAAAACCTTTGGTAAGTTGTGAAGAGCTGCCAAATGATATAAATACCATGTATTACATTTCTGAATACAGTACGTCTAAATGAAGTGAATCACAAAAGATTGTGTACCTACATTAGTTTGGGTAATTTTAAAGAACCAAAACAAATTCAATAGAGTTTGTTTCAAAATTCATGGGAAGAAAAGAAAAGCAAATATGGCAAGAAAACATTGACAAGATTGATTAGGTGTATAGGCAACCACCAATAGTACATGTACATTTACTTTGGTTATTTTTATAGACGAGTTGTGCAAACACAGACAAGTTTGTCGTACTCCAAAATATACAAATTCACTTTCACTGCAGTGTGCTGGGTTTTCCCCGCATTTTTACACCAAAAATTGTTTCTTTCCAAAAAGTGCCTTAGAGAAAATCCTCCAACATATCTGACGTTTAGAACACGCATTGACAAAGCTTACAGAGTAAATTACACGGAAAGCGGAGGTTGGCATCAACTCACTTTTTGCACATGACAGGATTGACATTAATAGTGTGAGGAAATTCATGAGTGTTCACTTTGGTGAATAACATACAACATGCACACAAAATGAAGTTCAGTCTAGGACTATGAGAACACCCTTCCGAGCAGAGCGTGAAATAGAGTACATGCACAGCCGAAAAGTGATGGCTTGGTATTCCTTCATTCTTTATCATAAAGTGTTTTGCAAATCTGTGATCCTAACCATGTCTGCATATCGACGCAAGTTCCCGACTGTACTTTTGCATCGAAAAGCCTATGATTGATTTAGGGATTTTTTTTTTTAAATAATATGTCGGTTACCCCAAATTATATAGTACTTTTTTTTTATATCTAATTTCAACTTCGAGACATCACAAACTTTGTTTAAAAAACCTCTGTTCAACCAGCTTCCCAGAAGAGTCTGGGTTAATTTTTGCAGACAGCATCAACTACGAGTCTCTCAATCTTGCTTCGTTGTAACTCACACCAGGGGCACCTTTTCCATACCTGTGACCTGATCATTTTCAGTATCCTCCAACTGGGTGCCACTGTCCTCCATACTGGGGTACGGGGGTATATAAGCCCCGGACTGCTGGGCTTGAGGCAAGGGTTGCGGTGGGTGGGACATGGGACAAGGTTGTACCTGATAGGCTACTTGACCCGAGTTGCAGGTGGTAACTTGGATGGGTTGTCCCTGCACAAAGTGCCCTGCACAGATTTTAAGGGAATGCGCACCAGTTGTATACATGTACATTCAAAAATGAAAGTGCCAAAATAGTCTGAAGGGTTCAAGAACACAAAATCTGTTAACACAGAGGGTAAAACTTTGCATTATTTTATCAGACAGAGACAATGTAGCTTACCGTGCTCATTCTGTAAGACACTCGTCCCACCATTTGGCACGGCAGGCAGGTACTGAACCTGACGGTGATACAAAAGAAAAAAAGAACACAGACATTAACCCATTACATGTAGTCCTTATACCGCCCAAAACTGCCTAGACCGTTACTCCTCATACCGCCCCAAACCGCCCCAGCTCTCTAAGGCTTTACTGATTCATGGAGGACTAACTACACGTTCAATGTAATGGTGATACAATGCAATCAAACTGCTAAACGGTTACTATTGTTTATGGTGTGTATTTATAAAGCGGACATATCCACCAGCTTTGATGGACAGCTTGGGGTTTTACATTTTAATTTTGTTATTTTTGGGATTTTATGTGAGTCATGCGCAGTGGGTGACACCATACCTCCCAGTTTGTTTCATCAGTGGTAGCAATTCCACTCCTACCCTAATACAAGCAACCCCTATGACCTACCGTCATTGAAGAGCCAGTTGAAGTTTGGCAGCAAGTCCCACGGCATGAGATGACAGACGCTACGATGGAGACACCAAGCTCAAGAAGAGCAATGACGGCAGTCAGCGCATCTACAGCAACTCGACCTCTCTAGTTAGAATAGGAATCAAACAAGACAACACTCGCTGAGTCAAGTTGGAATCAAAAGTGATTCGGGGAGTCAGTGACTCAGTCAGTCAGTGACTCAGTCAGTGACTCAGTGACTCGATCACTCAGTCACTGTGTAATTCAGTTTGTCAGTGATTCGGTTTAGTCAGTGACTCAGTCAGTCATTGACTCAGTCAGTTAGTGGGGGAGTCAGCCTGAACTATTCGGATCAGTCAGTCACTCAGTGACTCAGTCAGGGGTGACTCAGTCACTCGGTCAGAAAATGACTCGGGGAGTCGGTTGGGGAGTCAGTCAATCGGGGAGTCAGTAAGTCGGGGAGTTGGTCAGTCAGGTACCCAGTCAGTCAGGAGGACAATAGGTTGGCCGTCATCAGTCCAGCAAACATATCCAAATCAAGCACTGACTGTGACCAGAATTAATTCATTCAACACCAGGGGCCACTTTCATGGAGCTGCTAAGCACAAACATTGGCTTAGCACAAAAAAGTTTGGCTTAGTAAAAGCAGGTTACCAGCCAAAACTCCATACCATTTTCATGCTAAGCATCTATACATCACATGGAAATTTGGTTGGTAATTCTGTTTTTGCCAACATAGACTTTTCATGCTAAGCAAACTTTTGTGCTTAGCAGCTCCATGAAATCGGCTCAGGTTCCAATGCCATGGAGCTGCTTAGTACCCAATAGTTGTTGGGACTTTGACTTGGCACTTACAAGAAGGGTTGAAGAGTAGAGAGCTCCAAACTCCCAAGCAGTGAACGAAGCCATGAGGGATAGCAGTTGAAACGCTGCCACGGCCGATAAGATGGACAAGACTAGATATCCTGTGATCTAATGAGTGATATAAACAACAAATCAGCTAGGTTAACTGGTTAGCATCTGTACTACATTGTAATTACATTATGTTTATTCAGTGAAGAATCAATAAGACCATAGAGTGCTCCAGCAGTTTCAGGTGCTCCTGTGAGTAATAGGCCAGGCACTTTCCGGCGCTTCACTGACTAAGAGTTAAAGATGTACTGTTCGTGCAGCCTACAGTACACAGGAAGACAAAAGCACAAAACTGAAAACAGCAGGGTTTTAAATTTCATCTAAAAATAACTCCAGGTACTTTGACAATTATGCAAGAACACTCAACAGTCCCTTATGGTTTCCGGAGGCAAAATAATGCACAACAGTTCACCTTGATTCAAATCAAAATAAACAAACACAATAAAACTAAGAGCACTTGTTAAGTTGTAATTAAAACAAGCCAGCTTTGCCTGCTCTGAAGGCTTTTTCAAATGTCTAATGACACAGTCACTCTTTATGATTTTGAAGCATCAAGCAATCTTACTCCATGTTAACAACTTACCAGACAGTTCTGTCTTTTCTTGGCAGCAAACTCTCCAGTCAACCCAGCTGACATAAAGAACTGAAATAAAAGAAAAGAATAACAGATCCTTTATGGTAAACGCTAATGATATAAAATAAAAAGACCACCCATTTTTGTAGTAAAGATTGAATTTCAAAGTTGCATTTTAAGTTTTTGGCTTACGCGTTAGAACCTTCACTTTTTGAAATTTTCTCTTCAATTTCATTACTTTTTTTCAAATATACCTACCTTTAGACAACACTTTTACTTGTTTAGCCTCACTTTATTTGTGAAATAGAAATAAATGTATAATTGTGTTTTCTTTGGTTTTGTTTTCTTTGATGGTTTCTGCATGCAAGGTACGTGTTACAATATCAGTACACTTTTACACAAGAATTTTTATTTTGGAAAAAGTAATATATATTTGGCAGCTGTAGCTAAACGCACTCAACAGAGGCAAAAGCAGTTACAAATATACTTACAAATATGCCAGTCCAGATGGGGGCACCAATATACGCATCTTCCGACTCGATTACTATCGCAATGATTCCAAGCATGACCGACAGGATCCCACATATGATCTGCAGATGGGCCGTCATGTAGGCCCCACGCACGTTGAAATCAGGCAGCATGCCGGTGGGGTTCTGGATCATAACCATGTATTGTTGGGACACCATCGGGGGGCCAGGGGGGTAAGATGCACCCTGGGTAGAGGTCACGCTAGACACGACGCCGGTCATGTTGTTGGGTTGATGGACTGGTGAGGGCTCTGTAGACAAGCTACTGTTGGTGTTTGGGTTCAGCGTTGTGGTTTGGCCTTCCGAGGGTACTTTGGTCTGATGCTCCATGTTGTTAACCAAAGCGTCTCACTTCGAAGCTTAAGTAAAACTTAGGCTGGAGACAACGGGAAAATACATTACACCTTAATAATTTGGTCTTTATTTGGAAACTTGCAATTTATAGACTTGAATAGATAAACACAACTACTAACTAGCTTTATTTTCTTAAAGGAGGTCATGGAATCAAGTCCCACCCGAATGATGTTTTTTTCTCACAATCACTTGGGACAACCACACCGAGTCCTGCAGTGTTTATCGCTATGCATCCCTGCATCAGAGCCCAGCGTTCCACCCCACCCAACCCTACCCCCATAAAAGAAATGTATAGACATAAATAAATGAAATGTATCTGTTCCTCCTGGGATATGGCAATGATGTTATTGGAGCTTTAAAACAGCGCCCTCTATTACAAGCATAAAACCTGAGCAAACAGTATTTGCAAAGCTCAAGAACAGAATCTCATTATTTTTTACACATAAACGTTTGAAAGCGGGGCTCTAAATCATACCAATTACTAAAAATCAGTAAACAGGGTGATTTCTTACCATAGATGCTATTTTTTTTTCACCCCCTTATTTTCCTTCCTCCATGTGCAAACTGCACAGAGTCGAGACCGACGAACTGAGCATGCGATGACGCACGTCGCCGCGATATCGGCGTAGTAGTATGGTACATCCCGAAAACAGGAAATTATGGCATCACCAGTAGTACGTCACAATAGGTCATGAATTATGCAATACTTTGTACTTGTACTACTAGGTTACGGGTGCAGCGCACTAATTATTCAAATATAGGCATAATTATTATAATTTTCGTTTTTTTAGGTTGTGATACCGCCACTGTATATATGTGTCACACTTTTTATTTAGACTTTTGTTGGGTGGAGATCGCTCGAAAAACCTAATTACAGGTGCTACCTTTGACTATGTATTAAATAGTTGGTAGGTCCTATATGTACATCTGATCTGAGTTGGTGAAAAAAGGAGAAGTCCGCTGGTATTTTCCGAACTGAAACCGGTAAGATTAGATTATTCCGGGTGTGGGTATTTTGCGGAACTTGCAGAACGTGCAGAACTCTGCGGAACTCTGCAAAATTGTTAATAAAACACTAAATTAAGATGAAATACTGGCTTTAAAAGTACAACAAGCGACAAATCTCATTATTAAGTCCCAAAATCGTCACATTCTACCCTTAAATAAATTGAAAATAAAAGATTTCCCACCTGTTTGTGCCGTCGTATAATAATTGTGTGTAGTATTTGCAGAACAGTGCAGAACACATGCTGTACAGGGATACATGCCGTTTACAAACCAAGGGTGCAGCTTTGACCCAGTGCTCTGTGAAGCACGTGTTTTAAACAGTTGATAGGGGGATAATGTACCGCTGCAGAACGAATTCTGCCGAAGTAACATTATGGAATAATCGTAATGTTTTATTTGCAATGTCAACAATTGTCTTATATCCTCCACATGTTTATGGGAAGGCCTTCTGTATCAATAGTTCCATGTTTTACCCAGGCAACGCAATCAATGGGTATGGGCCTCCGAGAGTTTCGCGTTTTACACAGGCAGAATCAAAATTAAAAATCATCACAATGTTTTAATTTTAATCTGGATAAGTGTATTATATTCTCAACAACTCCTCTGATTTTTTTCTTTCCGAAATTCACCCGAGAAGACCTTTTAAAATGAGAGTTCCGCGTTTTACCCACCTAGGTTTTTTTGTGCAAATAGGCCTATTGCACGGTATGTGCAGTATACGCGTACTGGCTCCGACGCCGTAGGAGGGGGCATCTTTATCGATGCAGAACCAACATTAAAAATCGTCACAATGTTTTAATTTTAATCTGGATGAATGTATTATATTCTCAACAACTCCTGTGATTTTTTTCTTTCCGAAATTCACCCGGGAAGACCTTTTAAAATGAGAGTTCCGCGTTTTACCCACCTAGGTTTTTTGTGCAAATAGGCCTGTTGCACGGTATGTGCAGTATACGCGTACTGGCTCCGATGCTGTGGGAGGGGGCATATTTATCGCTGCAGAACCAACATTAAAAATCGTCACAATCTTTTAATTTTAATCTGGATAAATGTATTATATTCTCAACAACTCCTGTGATTTTTTTCTTTCGGAAATTCACCCGGAAGACCTTTTAAAATGAGAGTTCCGCGTTTTACCCACCTAGGTTTTTTTGTCCAAATAGGCCTATGCACGGTATGTACAGTATACGCGTACTTGCTCCGATGCCGTAGGAGGGGGCATATTTAGCGCTGCAGAACCAACATTAAAAATCGTCACAATGTTTTAATTTTAATCTGGATAAATGTATTATATTCTCAACAACTCCTGTGATTTTTTTCTTTCGCAAAATCACCCGGAAAGACCTTTTAAAATGAGAGTTCCGCGTTTTACCCACCTAGGTTTTTTTCTGCAAATAGGCCTATGCACGGCATGTGCAGTATACGCAATACTGGCTCCGATGCCGTAGGAGGGGGCATCTTTAGCGCTGCAGAACCAACATTAAAAATCATTAGAATGTTTTAATTTTAATCTGGATAAGTGTATTATATTCTCAACAACTCCTGTGATTTTTTTCTTTCGGAAATTCACCCGGGAAGACCGTTTAAAATGAGAGTTCCGCGTTTTACCCACCTAGGTTTTTTTGTGCAAATAGGCCTATGCACGGTATGTGCAGTGTACACGTACTGGCTCCGATGCTGTGGGAGGGGGCATCTTTAGCGCTGCAGAACCAACATTAAAAATCGTCACAATCTTTTAATTTTAATCTGGATGAATGTATTATATTCTCAACAACTCCTGTGATTTTTTTCTTTCGGAAATTCACCCGGGAAGACCTTTTAAAATGAGAGTTCCGCGTTTTACCCACCTAGGTTTTTTTGTCCAAGTAGGCCTATGCACGGCATGTGCAGTATACGCAATACTGGCTCCGATGCCGTAGGAGGGGGCATCTTTAGCGCTGCAGAACCAACATTAAAAATCGTCACAATGTTTTAATTTTAATCTGGATAAATGTATTATATTCTCAACAACTCCTGTGATTTTTTTCTTTCGCAAAATCACCCGGAAAGACCTTTTAAAATGAGAGTTCCGCGTTTTACCCACCTAGGTTTTTTTGTCCAAGTAGGCCTATGCACGTTATGTGCAGTGTACACGTACTGGCTCCGATGCCGTAGGAGGGGGCATCTTTAGCGCTGCAGAACCAACATTAAAAATCGTCAAAATGGTTTAATTTTAATCTGGATAAATGTATTATATTCTCAACAACTCCTCTGATTTTTATCTTTCGGAAATTAACCCGGGAAGACCTTTTAAAATGAGAGTTACGCGTTTTACCCACCTAGGTTTTTTTGTCCAAGTAGGCCTATGCACGTTATGTGCAGTGTACACGTACTGGCTCCGATGCTGAGGGAGGGGGCATATTTATCGCTGCAGAACCAACATTAAAAATCGTCACAATCTTTTAATTTTAATCTGGATGAATGTATTATATTCTCAACAACTCCTGTGATTTTTTTCTTTCCGAAATTCACCCGGGAAGACCTTTTAAAATGAGAGTTCCGCGTTTTACCCACCTAGGTTTTTTTTTGTCCAAATAGGCCTATTGCACGGTATATGCAGTATACGCGTACTGGCTCCGATGCCGTAGGAGGGGGCATCTTTCTCGCTGCAGAACCAACATTAAAAATCGTCACAATGTTTTAATTTTAATGTGGATAAATGTATTATATTCTCAACAACTCCTGTGATTTTTTTCATTCTGAAATTCACCCGGGAAGACCTTTTAAAATGAGAGTTCCGCGTTTTACCCACCTAGGTTTTTTTGTGCAAATAGGCCTATGCACGGTATGTGCAGTATACGCGTACTGGCTCCGATGCCGTAGGAGGGGGCATCTTTAGCGCTGCAGAACCAACATTAAAAATCGTCACAATCTGTTAATTTTAATCTGGATGAATGTATTATATTCTCAACAACTCCTGTGATTTTTTTCTTTCGGAAATTGACCCGGGAAGATCTTTTAAAATGAGAGTTCCGCGTTTTACCCACCTAGGTTTTTTGTGCAAATAGGCTCTATTGCACGGTATGTGCAGTGTACACGTACTGGCTCCGATGCTGTGGGAGGGGGCATCTTTAGCGCTGCAGAACCAACATTAAAAATCGTCAAAATGGTTTAATTTTAATCTGGATAAATGTATTATACTCTCAACAACTCCTCTGATTTTTATCTTTCGGAAATTCACCCGGGAAGACCGTTTAAAATGAGAGTTCCGCGTTTTACCCACCTAGGTTTTTTTGTCCAAGTAGGCCTATGCACGGTATGTGCAGTGTACACGTACTGGCTCCGATGCTGTGGGAGGGGGCATATTTATCGCTGCAGAACCAACATTAAAAATCGTCACAATGTTTTAATTTTCATCTGGATGAATGTATTATATTCTCAACAACTCCTGTGATTTTTTTTTCTTTCCGAAATTCACCCGGGAAGACCTTTTAAAATGAGAGTTCCGCGTTTTACCCACCTAGGTTTTTTTCTGCAAATAGGCCTATGCACGGTATGTGCAGTATACGCAATACTGGCTCCGATGCCGTAGGAGGGGGCATCTTTAGCGCTGCAGAACCAACATTAAAAATCATTAGAATGTTTTAATTTTAATCTGGATAAGTGTATTATATTCTCAACAACTCCTGTGATTTTTTTCTTTCGGAAATTCACCCGGGAAGACCGTTTAAAATGAGAGTTCCGCGTTTTACCCACCTAGGTTTTTTGTGCAAATAGCCCTATGCACGGTATGTGCAGTATACGCGTACTGGCTCCGATGCCGTAGGAGGGGGCATCTTTAGCGCTGCAGAACCAACATTAAAAATCGTCACAATGTTTTAATTTTAATCTGGATAAATGTATTATATTCTCAACAACTCCTGTGATTTTTTTCTTTCCGAAATTCACCCGGGAAGACCTTTTAAAATGAGAGTTCCGCGTTTTACCCACCTAGGATTTTTGTGCAAATAGGCCTGTTGCACGGTATGTGCAGTATACGCGTACTGGCTCCGATGCCGTAGGAGGGGGCATCTTTAGCGCTGCAGAACCAACATTAAAAATCGTCACAATCTTTTAATTTTAATCTGGATGAATGTATTATATTCTCAACAACTCCTGTGATTTTTTTTCTTTCGGAAATTCACCCGGGAAGACCGTTTAAAATGAGAGTTCCGCGTTTTACCCACCTAGGTTTTTTTGTGCAAATAGGCCTATGCACGGTATGTGCAGTATACGCGTACTGGCTCCGATGCCGTAGGAGGGGGCATCTTTAGCGCTGCAGAACCAACATTAAAAATCGTCAAAATGGTTTAATTTTAATCTGGATAAATGTATTATACTCTCAACAACTCCTCTGATTTTTATCTTTCGGAAATTCACCCGGGAAGACCTTTTAAAATGAGAGTTCCGCGTTTTACCCACCTAGGTTTTTTTGTCCAAGTAGGCCTATGCACGGTATGTGCAGTGTACACGTACTGGCTCCGATGCTGTGGGAGGGGGCATATTTATCGCTGCAGAACCAACATTAAAAATCGTCACAATGTTTTAATTTTCATCTGGATGAATGTATTATATTCTCAACAACTCCTGTGATTTTTTTCTTTCCGAAATTCACCCGGGAAGACCTTTTAAAATGAGAGTTCCGCGTTTTACCCACCTAGGTTTTTTTCTGCAAATAGGCCTATGCACGCTATGTGCAGTATACGCAATACTGGCTCCGATGCCGTAGGAGGGGGCATCTTTAGCGCTGCAGAACCAACATTAAAAATCGTCACAATGTTTTAATTTTAATCTGGATAAATGTATTATATTCTCAACAACTCCTGTGATTTTTTTCTTTCGGAAATTCACCCGGGAAGACCGTTTAAAATGAGAGTTCCGCGTTTTACCCACCTAGGTTTTTTGTGCAAATAGCCCTATGCACGGTATGTGCAGTATACGCGTACTGGCTCCGAT